CCTGGCTGCCCAGGGGTCGACCTCTGCCTACTGCACCCTGAACCCCGGCAGCCGGAGCCCACACCACCCCGGGCTGCACCCTGGCCACTGCCCAGGGCCTAGAACCACCTGGGGCTCCCGTGCTGGGCACCACCCCGGAGGCCCACGCAGAATCCTGAGCCACCAGCAGGGCCCCCACTGACCGACCAACAGCCTGGTGTGCGCCTGGGAGTGGCAGGACAGAGTCGGCATCTGGGCAGCCTCATGCAAGGAGAAAGTTCTGGCACATGGCCACAGCCCAGGCCCCCACAAAATGCCGCCCCCTCCTCCCACGGGGTCGATCTGGTCCTCACAGCTCTGACGTCACATCCTGCCCATCTCCAGCCCCATCCGGCCTGGCGCATGCTCCTGGGGACGTGGCTCCGGGCAAAGCTGCCTCCACGCAGCACCCCTGCCGTGAGCGTGCGTCTCCTCGCAGCAACTCTTCAGGTGCTCTGCCGTCAGCGGGCTACACAGAGGCCCCACCACTTCTCTCTCCTGAGCTCCTGGGCACTGAGGACTCAGCCCTGCTGACAACCACCCGGACCCCAAAGCCACACATGGCTGCCTCTGGGGGCTGCTTCCGGCCTGCAGGGCCTGCCAGTGGGCACCGTTGCCATGGTGACAAATGCAATCCCAGCAAAAGGCCTTGAGGGGTATCCTTACCCATGTTGCATGCTGCGGGGCCAGAACGCGTGACCCTGGCCTGCCCGCCAAGCCCCGCATCCTCAAAGCTGCTCCCTGCCTCCACCACTGTGCCGGGGACTGCTGCTTTGTTTTGACAACGCGCGGCCAGGTCCCCGGTGACGCTGTCCAGGCCTGGCTGTCAGACGCAGCTTCCAGTCCAGCGTCACCCTAGACAGGCCCCTCTGCGCATTCCCGACCAAGGACAGCGGCTTCTTGTCTGAAAATGGAAAAGTGACTGCCGGCACCGGGGCAGAACAGTGAGCCGGACAGGGCCATAGCTGCCCACGGCACCCAGCTGGGCGGTGGCCGCAAGAGTGGGGTGCAGGGGGCTGGCTGCACAGCAGGTGGCCGCCCACCTCCCAGGGAAGGAACTGAGGGCTGCTCTGGTGTAGGGGGAGCCTGCACAACGCTGACCAACGGGGACAGGCTGTCCAGGATGGCCACTGGAGGCCAGGTCGGGGCGCAGGGTAGAGGCCCCTGACTGGGAGGTAGTTCCAGCCAGGCATCCCTGAAGGCAGGATCTGCCTACCCAAACACCACACTGCCCAGGCACTAACCCTACCTCACCCCTAGCAGCCCTGCACCCTGCCAAGCCCTGCCAGCCCCAGCCGGCTTCCTGCCCCTGCACCAGGGCAGCCCTGCTGGCGGCCATGCCAGTGGCCCATCCCTTGCAGCTGGACACCAAGGGAACCCAAAGCCATGAGCGTGGAGTAGGGCGCTGGGCCAGGCTGCTCTCCTAGGGGAAGGTCAGGGTCAGGATTAAGGCTCAGGTTGCCTCTATGCCAGAGCCCCCTGTCCTGAAGACCCCTCCCCACAAAACGCCCCTCCCTGAGGCCCAGCAGGGTCAGTCACCGTAGCCATCCTGTGGGGCCCAGCTCCTCTACCCGCCAGACCCCTGCTCCCTCCCCTGACCCTGGATCCCAGCAGTTGAAGGGGTCACCACGGGGAAGGTTCAGCAGAGAGAGAACACTGAGGAGCTGTGAGAGCTTCAGGGTCCCAGTGCTGGGTCCCAGTGAAGAGCAGCGCACATGGGGCCCAGGGAGACCACAAGGAAGGCCAGAGCAGGTCCCAGGCCAGCCCAGGGCAGGGGGGACTAGGGAGCAGTGCAGGAGCCCGGCCAGTCCCCTGGTCCCCACGGATGTGGAACCCCGCGCCCTGCCCAGCTGCCCCGGAGACATCACACTTAGTGGACGACACAAACACTCATACAGAAATTAGTGTCATGGGGGAGGAGGGACAGCCACCCTGAACACGCGGTGACTCGGCTAGGAAAACCCAGCGCCGAGGTGGCTCCCTAACCCGGCGACGCCGGCGGAGGGGTGGGGCAGGCGCGGCCCCCACAGCCCTCTCCGGGGAAGGCTGCTGGAGACACCAGCGAGAAGAGCAAGGCACCGGGTGGCCCCAGTCCACGGCTGGGGCGGGCAGGACAGTGACAGGACCGCGATGCACTGGGCCCGGCCCCCGCCGCGGACCAAGGCTTTGGCACAAGGGTGACTGCACGAACATTCGGAGCACTGGTGAGGGGTCGGAGGTCAGCAGAAGGCACAGGACCCCTCCGTGACCTCTCCTGCTCTGGCCAGGGCAGGCACGCGGTGGCCGGGAAGGTCGTAGGCAGGGCTCGGGGTGGGCAGGTCCAGCGGAGGCCCAGTGGGCATTCGCACCCATGTGGCAGGAGCTAATCCATGGCAGGGGTGCAGATGTTGCCACAGCTGCCCCACAGTGAGTCCCAGTCGTGTGGCCACAGGCAAGCCACGCCTCTTCCTTCCTCCGCCACCAGCCTGGTCAGGGACCCCGGCCAGCGTGCTCCCGGCCGGCACTAGGGCCCCGGGCCGCCGGGCTCCCTGGGGCTGGGCAGCGACTTGAGGTACTCCAAGTGCCGCCGGGTGTCCTCCTGGTTGTGCCGCACGTAGTACACGATGTAGGTGATGACCATGGCGAACCAGCCGAACATGGTCACCAGCATGGCCACGTCGGTGGTCTTGTGGTGGACGCCGCAGAAGCTGACCCCGGCGTCCAGCGCCTGGATGAGCGGCTTCCCCACGAACTCCTCCTGCACTGAGGTGTGGCAGGCGATGTCGTGCACCGAGTCGGGGTCCAGCTTCAGCTCCCACAGGGCCTGCTGCAGGGCACACTCACAGTGCAGAGGGTTGTGTGACAGCCGGATCCTGGCACTGAGCTTGCCCAGGGCGTCCTTGGGGACCCTGCGGATGCGGTTGTGCGACAGGTCCAGCAGCCGCAGGCCTCCGGCGAGGCCCGAGAAGGCAGCTGGCCCGATGGTCTCGATGGCGTTCTGCGACAGGTCCAGCTCCCGCAGCTGCTGCAGGTGCTGGAAGGCCCCGTTGGGGACATGCGAGATCCTGTTGGCATCCAGCTTGAGCAGCACGGCCTCGGCCGGGATGTCCCGAGGTATCTCCTGCAGCCCCCGGGCGCTACAGTGCACGGCCAGGGCGCCTGCGTGCTCCGGGCACTGGCAGCTCTGCGGGCAGCCGGCACTCAGGGGCACACAGAACAACAGCAAGAGGCAGGGGCCAGGGGCCGTGGCCAGCAGGGATGCAGGGGCCGTGGCCAGCAGGGATGCAGGGCCCCGCCTGCCCCGGGGGCCCATTCCGCCTCGCCCCAGCGTGGGGGTCTGCTCCCTCCTGTGGAGCCGGGGCTGAAGGGACCTTGGGTTCTGAAAGAGAAGGGAGCGAGAGCCAGAGGACATGTGAGCCAGGTCTGCCAGAAGCGGACACTAGCAGGGGTGGGGGACACCTCCTAAACAGACACAGCCCCACCCTGTAACTTCTCTGGGAGTCCTCTCCCCCTTGCGGGCTGGGAGACCCGCGCCCAGCAGGTGCCCTGGCCCTGGGCAGGGTGGCAGAGGACTGCTGCAGCTCGCCCATCACCCAGGCCCACCCCTGGGGCTCAGGGCTGTGGGAGGAAGGGCCAGGCACCACAGGCCCTAACAGGAGGCCCTGCAGGTGGCCCCCTTCCACGCCCGAGATCGGGATCAGCAAAGCCTGCTCATCACCTAGCCAGTGCTGCCGGATCAATACAGCACCGGGAGAAGCGGGAAGAAGCCCCGGGGCCGGGCGCGGCGGCGCGGGGTGTGGACGAGGGAGAGAGGGTGCGCGGAGACCAGGGAGGGGACCGGGGTGGGGACCAGGGTCGGGCACCGGGGTGAGGAGCGCGCGGGTGTGGACGAGGGAGCGCATGGGGACCGGGGAGGGGACGGGGTGGGGACCAGGGTGGGAGCAGCTTGGCCGGGATCCCGGTGGGCGCGGCGGGGCAGGGCTTTACCTGAGGGCCGGACGCCGCTCCACGCTCCCCCAGCTCCCGCCGGTCCCGGCGCCACACCCCGGCCTGGGTGCCCGGTGCCCGCGCCCGCCTGCTCGCTCCGGAGGCCGCAGCTCGGCCGCGCGGCCCGGGCGGGGCCAAGAGGAGAGGGGCGTGGCCCGAGAGGGGCGTGGCCCGAGAGGAGGGGGACGGGGCGGAGCGAGGGAGGGGCGGGGCCCGAACGGAGAGGGGCGGGATGCAGGGGAACCGAGCCGAGATGGTGCCAGGCAGCGCCAGGGCTGGGTTTTTGAACGGAATGGAGGACGTTTGCCGGTTCCCTGCAGGGGCTGTGGGCGGGGCCTGCGGGCCGTGGGCGGGGCTGCTGGTCTTTGGGGCGGAGCCTGCAGGTCATGGGCGGGGCTGGTGGTGGGCGGGGTCTGGGCGGGGCTCTCCACGGGACCGCCCCCGGGGCCAGCTCCGCCCTGGGCTCTGAGCCTCACTGCATCTGCCACTTTCTGCCACAGCCCAGCCTCAGGCCCTGCTGTCCTGCCAGGGGCTGCCTGGGCTCCCATCACTAGGCAAACATCTTGGGGGACACCGCAGCTGCCCGACCCCACATCCTCAGTGGCACCAGCCCCAGGCGGTTGCGGGGACCCCAGCCTCCCAGAAGTTCACCCCGGGCCAGCACACTGGCAGGACAGGGGAGTGCAGGGGAGAGGCGAGGGTACCCCGGCCCCCAGCTCCAGCCTGTCCCCCGTGTCCAGCACCTGGTGCCTCACGAGACCGTCCTGCCAGATGACGTGGGGTCAACCTAGACCACTCTGCTCAGCAACGCCCCCTCCCCTGCCGGGGGCCGGTGGGGCTGCCCGAGGTCAGCCGAGCTCCACATGGCCGTGAGGAGGGGGCGGCCCAGGCTCCATGGGCCCCAGCTGTCCCGGCCTGCGGGACACGACGCTCAAACCGAGGGCGGACTGGGAATGCCAGGCTGCCGGCCCGAGAAACACAGACACGTACTTGATGAAGAGTGCCCATGCCCTTCATCTTACGCCTCAGGTATTACCTTCTCTAGGGGAGGGGGGCGGGGAGGGCTTTCCCGGAACTAAGCATCTTCATTGAAGCAGGGAAGGAACTAATCATCTATATTGAAACAGGGAGGAACTAATTACTCGAGCAGGAACAAGGGCGGAGGTTCTGTTCCGCCTGATTTGCATGGGATGGACTGGTCACAATGTCCTGCTTGCCCAAGGTAGGCTTTGCCATGCAGCAGTTGCCAGGCATGCCAAGTCTAAGGCCCGTGAGCCTGAGGCTCTACCACCCAGTCAGTAGTGAGCCTCCAGCAGGGTGGCTGCCCGCCGCAGGATGGTCTTCTGGTCCGCATAGAGCGGCATGCGCCTGTCCACCACCTCCCACTGGATGCACGGCCCCGAGTCGTCGGTGAGCAGGTGCTGGGGGACAGAGGCAGAGGCACTCATTCTGGGGGCGGATCCCCGGAGTTGCCCCCTCCGCCAGCCAGCGGGCCCTCCCCGCCCCAGCCTCCTACCGTGTTGAGCCTTTTGAGCTCTGTGTCATTCTGGTCCTGGAAGTGGACGCTCACGGCCACCGTCTCGATCCAGGCATTGTCTGTGTTCCTGGGGTCATCCACGTAGCCTTTGTACACCTGCAGGAAGAGCGGGCTGGGCAGGGCTCTGCCGGGCCCTGGGGCCCCCTGCTCTGGGCTCCCTCTTCCCCGGGGCCTCCAGCACCGCACAAAGGCGCTGGGACACAGCCCTGGCTGGGGTACTCTCGCATCAGGTTAAGCCTCTGCTTGTGACATCAGCAGCCATGTGGCCACTGGTTCTAATCCGGACTACCCCACTTCCATCCAGCTCCCGGCCCGTGGCCTGGTAAAGCAGTAGGGCACAGCCCAAAGCCTTGGGCCCCTGCACCCATGTGGGAGACCGGGAGGAAGCTCCTGCTTCTTAGGGCCCCACCCTTTCCCTCTCTCTGTAACTCTATCTTTCAAATAAATAAGACATTTTTGTAAATGGCTTGTTTTATGTTGTGTGGGTTTTACCTCAGTAACAGAATAAAACATGTCTTTGATAACTCCTGAGTGCAGGAGCTGGCAGCATGCGACGGAACGCCTGCAGCGCCTGCAGAGGTGCCCAGGGCAGGGGTACAGGGCGCGAGACTGGCCTTACCTCAGTGCCCTGCCGCAGCAGGTTCTCCACGGGCAGCCAGCACTCCTGCCCCAGGGTCTGCTTCAGCTTCCGCGGCAGCACGTCCCCCGGCTCCCGGGAGCCCTGTGCAGGGTCAGGGAGTGGGCAGGTCGGCAAGCTGCCTGAGCCAGCTCCTGGGCCGCCCTGGGGCCCTGCGCCACACGCCTCCTGCCCATTCGGAGCAGCCAACCAGCCCTGGGGAGCCGGAGGCAGAAGGGAGTCTGGCAAGCCGAGTGGGCTGTCTCCAGGCTGCAGTGACACTGCCCAGGCCCCAACATCGACGTCAGTACCCGACAGACTGCTCACCTCTGGAGCCAGCCCTGGAGCCAGCCCGGAGCAGCAGGCCAGGCTGGACAGCCTGCACAGCCTCTGGAGCCAGCCCTGGAGCCAGCCCGGAGCAACAGGCCAGGCTGGACCCTGTTCACCTCTGGAGGCAGTCCCAGAGCCGGCCCCGGAGCAGCAGGCCAAGCTGGACCCTGCTCACCTCTACAGGTCCCATCTGGGCTGCAGCACATGGGCCTGGCCACCCCCACATGTCACCACCCTATCTTCCTGACTCAGCTGTCACTCGGCCTCCTGCTAGAGCAAGCAGGGGTCTCTGGCAACAAGTCACACCTGTCCCCCAAGTCCCCAGGGTCCTCCAGGAAGCTGGGGCTCACCAGGACACCCCTAAGTCCAGCCTTGTGGGGCCCCAACAGACAGGAGACAGAGGTGCCTAAGAACAGAGGGGGCATGGAGCAGGAACCCCCAGCAAGGGCACCCCAAGGTCAAGGGCCCCCAGGGTGGACCCCCATCCTCTGAGCTGGCCATCCCACTCACCCCCGGCAGGGCCCAGTGCTCCCACACAGGCCGTCTCAGCACCAGCACCTCCAGCATCTTCTTCACACTCTTTCTGCAGATGGCTCCGTCCATGCCACGCCTCCACCTGCCGGAGGAGTGCCCCGTGCCCCATGCCCACCAACCCTGGTGAGGGCCCGAGACCCACCTCCCCAGCCCTGGGAGACCAAGACAGGCCCAGCACTGGTAGAAGCCCTGGGGCCAGGCCACCTGGGCAGGGAGGAGCCCAGGGTGGGGAGCATCAGAGGTGCTCACCGGGTGATCACAGGGTGCAGTTCATGGTTGGGTCCGAAGCGACGGAGGCTGCCACGTCCACGCAACCCGGTGCGGCCCATGGGGTTCCTGGGGCAGGCAGGCGTGGGCTCAGCCTGGGCTGGGCCGAGGGCAGCTGGGCCGAGGGCAGCTGGGCGGAGACCATGGCAGGAGATGCCAAGGCCACAGGGGCCCTGCCCAGTGGCTGAGGGAAGGAACCGGGCAAGGATGGGGCCACACTCACCGGGGCAGCCCGTCCCACACGCCATAGACCCCGTGGAAGCTGCGACGGTCAGTCAGTCCATCCATTGCATTGTAGCTGATGTTGGCTAAGAGCTCCAGGGTGCTGGGGCAGGACAAGGTGGACCACAAGAGAGAGGGTGAGATGACCCAGGCCCCAACGCTCCTGGCCTTCTATAGGCTGCCTGGTCCCCGTGGGACGGTTCCCACTCACTCTCCCACGGGGTCCGTGGTGGTCGGGTCCCTCCTCTCGACCGTGTAGCTCGGAGGGTCATAGATGGGGAATTCTGTCTGTAAGGAGGAATGGGGGTTGAGGTGGGATCAGAGGAAAAGGCCGTGGGAGGGGAAGGGCTGGGACTCAGCAGGTTTCTGGCAGTGAGCAGTGGGTCCACATAGGGAACAGCCTGGAATGTTCTGGAAGGACCAGAGGGCAGGGCCCCTTGGTGCCAGCACCCACTGCTGTGTCCCTCATGCCTAGGGCTCAGGAAGGAGTGGAGGGGTGTTGAGGACTGCCGTGAGAGCTGGGGTTGTGTGTGCCTCGGCTCCTCAGCCAGGCTCCCTGAGGCTGGCCCAGGCAGGACCCGCAGCCTGCGGCCGGCACTCACCTCCCAGGGCACTTTCTCGTTGGGCACCGGGAAGCGGGTGACAGGGCAGCCGGGGTACAGGAGGTGCCGGGCATTCACGTGGTAGCCATCCCCGGCTTCCTCGGCCAGCCTGCTGCTGCCGGGCTCCAAGCCTGGCTCCTCCACGGCCATAGGGGACACTGGCAACGGCCACGCACACGTGAGGCCAGCTGATGGATCTTTCTCTGCTGTCCACTGCCTAGAACCACAGCTCCCACCCCGCAGGCCAGGCTGGGCACTGGGGTGACAGCCATTGTGACCCAGGCCCACCCTCTGAAGCCAGCCCACGGCCACTGCCACCAGGGCCCTGCAGTGAGCCAGGGCAGCTTCGCTCCACAGAACCCCAGCTGTGGGCAGAAGAAGTAGCCTCCCTCCACGCACCCAGCAGCCAGGGAACCGCCCACACAGAGCACAGTAGGAGTCCGGGGACCTGGCCACGTCCCATGGTGGGGCAAGGGGGCAGGGAGGGCAGCTGCTACGCTCAGTGACTGCAGCAGGACGGACCTGCGGGGCTCAGACACAGCTCCCCCTACCAAAGCCTCCCCCAGGGCACCTCCCCTCCTCACGACACAGGCCCAGACTCGAACACGCATGCACCAGCCACAACTAGACATGACCAGACACCCACTCACCCAGCGTGGGGGCATCCACTTCTGAGTCAAAGTTGCTGTCCCTCAGGGCCCTGGTGATCCACTGCAAGGCTCTGGCCATCTGTGCCAACTGCAGAGCACCAAGACAAACAATGGGCACTTGCTGCCCACACTGGGACGGGGTGGCCAGGACATGCCTGTGCAGGAGTGGGGACAGGCTGCCCATGCCTGCTGTGGCCTCTGAACCACCAGGACCCAGCAGCTCCCATTGCTGATGGCAGCCACAGCTGGCCCAGGGCTGGCTCGAGGCCCGCACGGGAACAAACTCTAGCCTAGAGAGAAGGACACTTCATCGGGCACACAGGGCATGGGTCTGGGCACACTCACCCCCACAAAGGAAGACACAGGAGCCAGGGCACTGGCTGGGCACACTCCCATAGGGAGACACAGAACACAGGAAGACATAGGAGCCAGGGCACGGTGCTGGGCACACATACACACAGGGAGACACAGAACCCAGGACATAGGGCTGGGCACACACACACAGGAAGACAGGAACCAGGGCACAGGGCTGGGTACATACACCCCTATACAGGAAGGCACAGGAGCCAAGGCACTGGCTGGGCACACACACACACACACAGGAACCAGGGCGCGGGGCTGAGCACACACTCACACACACAGGAACCAGGGCGCAGGGCTGGGCACACAAACTCCCACACAGGAAGACACAGAACCCAGGGCACAGGGCTGGGCGCACACACACACACACACACAGGAAGACACAGGAGCCAGGGCATGGGGCTAGGCACACACGCATAGGGAGACTCAGAACACAGGGCACGGGACTGGGCACAAACACACAAGATGCCAGGAATGGCTTCAGCATCAGCTCTAAAACTGACAGGACCTCAGCTCTTTTAGACCTGCTGCCCGTTTAAACACACATGGGCAAAGGCTAGACATGCACACATCCTCCCCACACCAGGGCTGGCCGTGGCAACCCCACATGGCCACGTGCAGGCAGTACCTGGAGCCTGAGTGGGACCTGGTGCTTGCTGCCTGGGCTTCTGCTGGGAGCATGGTCCCTGGCCTCGCCAGGGAGCACTGATGGGGTACCCAGTCCCCACTGGACCAGTGGTGGTGATGGATCAGCTGGGCCTGTGCTGCTGTCTGCCACTGAGCAGGACTGCTTGCTCAGTGCACCTGCCCAGTCTCGGCCCCAGCACGCACGGTGTGCCTGTGTGCGCCTCCAGGCTGCGTGGCCACTACCCCCAGCAGGAAGCCCTGCCCAGGGGGACTTAACCCTGTGAGGAGGCCATCAACACGGGTCCTCACAGTGTGAGGGCCTCACAGAGGCTCACTAACTCTTTACCAAAGAGAAGACCCCCTCCCACTACACACAGGCCACGCCCCCAGAGGTCCCACCCACACGGAAAGGTCTTGCCCCCACACACAGAGCCCATACCCCACACAGGGGCCTCTTCTTCCTACACAGAAGCCCCACCCACATGAAGAGCTCATGCCCCCATATGCAGAAGCCCTGCCATGCCACATACAGGCATCACATCTCCCAGACAGGCCCTTCCCAGGTACCATACACACAGTGCCACGCCCCCACACAAACTCCCCACGCCTGCATCCCACCTGCCCCTCCAAGGTGTCCAGCCTCTGCTCCACAGAGCCCAGCCTCTTCAGATGATCCATGTCCAACAGGTCCACCAGACCATCCACCCTGCAAGACAACACAGCTAAGCAGGCCACGGCCTCGCTGCTGGGCCCCTGGGATGCCAAGGAGGCCTCCTGAGCTGGGACAGCTGTTAGAGTTTCTGAAGCCAGCAAGCTATGGCCACGCAACAGGCTATGGCCCTGCCCTCACTGAGAGCTCACCCACCACCAGCCAACATTTTGGACTTTAGTAGAACAAGTGTGGAGACAGAGGCTGAAAGGTGGGCAAGTCCTCTGTGGAAACAATGCCAGAATGAGGGGAAGTGCCAGGCCTACCTACCCCCAGGAGACCCTGAGCCGAAGGCATACCAAGGGCCTGACTCTAAAACACTCAGTGTGGGACCCACAGGCGGCTTTGACCATCAGCTGTCCCACTGAGGTTCCCACCACCATCAGCATCATCACCATCACTATCACCATCATCATCATCACCACCATCATCACCATCATCACCATCACCACCATCAGCATCATCACTATCACTATCACTATCACCATCATCACCAACATCATCATCGCCATCATCACCATCACCATCATCATCATCACCATCATCACCATCACCATCATCACCATCATCACCATCATCATCACCATCACCACCATCACTATCACTATCACCATCATCACCATCACCACCATCACCACCATCACCATCATCACCATCACCACCATCATCATCATCACCATCATCACCATCACCATCATCACCATCACCACCATCATCACCACCATCACCATCACCACCATCATCATCACCATCATCACCATCACCATCATCACCATCACCACCATCATCATCATCACCATCATCACCATCACCATCATCACCATCACCACCATCATCACCACCATCACCACCATCACCACCATCACCATCATCATCACCATCATCACCATCACCATCATCACCACCATCACCATCATCATCATCACTATCACTATCACCATCATCATCATCACCACAATCATCATCACCATCACCATCATCACCATCACCACAATCATCATCATCATCATTATCATCACCATCATCACCATCACCATCACAGTATCACCATCATCACCACCATCACCATCATCACCATCACCATCATCATCACCATCACCACCATCACCATCACTATCACTATCACCATCATCATCATCACCACCATCATCACCACCATCACCATCACCACCACCATCATCATAATCACCATCATCACCATCACCATCATCACCATCACCACAATCATCATCATCATCATTATCATCACCATTACAGTATCACCATCATCACCACCATCACCATCACCACCATCATCACCACCATCACCATCATCACCATCACCATCATCACCATCACCATCATCATCACCATCACCATCATCACCATCACCACCATCACCATCATCTCCATCAGCCTCACCACCCCCACAGCACAGCAGACAGCAGTGGACACCCAACCAGCCAGGCCAGCAGGACCCTGGCCATCCCCACTGCTCAACTGTGTTAGGAGACAGCAGGGGTGGTGGTCATTAGCTCAGTCTGCAGCCTAGAGAGCTGGGCATGAGAGAGGCACACCCACCTCCTCTGGGGCCAGGGGTGTTGTCCAGCCTCACGGGGACCCAGGCTCCCACTCCCGGCTCTGGCTAGCCTCTCCGCAGCCTGCGGATGACCACACCACGCTGGCCTGCACACCCTGACTGCCCCTCCTCGTTCCCCGAGGACGCTGATGTGGGACACAGGGCACATACGGGACCTCGAGGCTAGGTCTTCCTTGGGTCCAGGCTGGCTGGGGGCTGGGCATGGGGGGAGGGGCATCAAGGCCTTCCCCAGCACTGGGCAGGACACAGGGCAGCAGAGGGGCCTGGGGGTGCTGGCGCAGCTGTGCAGGGTGACACAGGTGATTCCCCTGCCCTGGGACCCCAGGCCCGCACTTGCGGCCGATGTCCTGGATCCTGTGCTCCAGCCTCTGCTCCTGCTGGGCCTGCCGGTGGTGAAGGTAGTTCTCCTTCAGGTATGTTTCCCAGGACAGCAGTGCTGCCTCCTCCATCTCCTCCAGCTTGTTCTCTGCAAGCAGAGACAGCACCAGGAGCCTTGCCCACCCAGGGCCCCAACCACCCACAGGCACCCCAAGCCCGGGACCCCTCGGGGCTCACTGAGCTTTGGGGTGGCCTTGGCCTGGGTCCCCCCGAAGACCCTGAAGACCAGCAGCTGCAGGTGGCTGAGCAGGGCGAGCGGGGGCGGCGCGGGGGGCCGGCTGTAGTACTCCTTGATCAGGCCATGGCGCTGGAACTTCCAGATCTGGTCCGTGTGCTCCTGCACCTCCTGGAACGTGTAGCTGGGATGCGAGGGGGAGAGGCCGCAGCATCAGCTTTGGGGACAACCCGGGAGCAGGAACAGCATGGATGCACACGGTAAATGGGGTACATGTGGTCCCTCCTGGGTGCCCTGGTTCCCGGGAACCCCTGCCTTGCAGGGAGGCCCTGCCCCAGTGCTCACTTGAACATGGCGACGAGCAGGTTCAGCAGCAGGATGTTGGTGAAGAGCAGGTAGACGCAGAGCAGCGTGACCGTCAGCCACTGAGGGAAGGCTGGCACCTGCCGCGTGGCGTCGCTCTCGGGGCACTTGGGCTTGTAGGGGTCAGTACCATTGGGGCTGCACTGGTCCAGGTTGAAATCCACGCCTGGTGTGGGGAGAGGGGGTGGGGTGGGCCGACAGAGTCAAGGAGTGTGGGGAGGAGGGGAGCCCCAGGCCACACAGTCCCCACCACATGTCCCCACCCACCCTACATGTCCTTGGCAGGGCAAGGCCCTGAACCAGGGGCCAGCTGGAGCTGGGCTGGGATGCAGGATCCCAGCCAAGGAGCTGAATTTGGTGGGGAGGGGTCTAACTCATCAGAGCCAGCATGAGGGGACTGCGCCCACAGACAAGGGGGACAGCAGAAATGGGACCCAGGCCCCACTGAGGAGCAGGGGTGAGCATGGTGGCTGCTGCAGCCCTGGAGCCTGGAAGGAACTTGCTGTGAGGCAGCACCAGACTCCTTGGGCCACCTCGAACTGTGAAACTGCAAGAAGCAGCATGCGTTACAGTGTCGGTAATACACTCTGGGCCTGGCACCTCACAGCTGCCAACCCCTACACTCAAAAAGAAGAGCAGAGATGGCTCACACAACGTGTGCCTCCCACCACTGTCAGCTAGGAGGAAAAGGGCACAGCAGGAGGGGCACACAGGGACCGAGCAGACAGGCCAGGAAGGAGCCGCAGGGCGGGTGCTGGGACACCACGCCCTGAACCACCTGGCAGGCAGATGCCCACCACCCCGGGGGACGCCCGGGGGGACGCCCAGGGGGACAGCCAGGGGACGCCCAGGGGACGCCCAGGGGGACAGCCAGGGGACGCCCAGGGGGACGCCCAGGGGGCCTGGCCCTGCCCAGGCTGTGCAAAGGAACCAGTGAAGGGATAGATCTATCCCCACACAGCCTGCTTTTTAAATGAAATGGGAAAATATACTTTTTTTTCAAAGAATATCAACAAAACCAAAGTCTTATTCTTGGAAAAAACAAACAACATGACCAGTGTTTAACCGGGCTGGAGGAAAGCTCAGGTGAATGACAGCAGATATGAAAGAGGACACCTCACGGCCACCCTTGCACAGAGAACCAAGGAAACGGCACAGAAAATGTGTCACACGGATAACTTAAGAAAAAGACAGATTCCTAGCAAGACACACACTACGAAAAGTGACTGGAGAAAATGCAGAGAATATGACCAGGGCTCGAGTTTGTGAGTTAGAAACATCACACAGAAAGGATGGCCCTGGCCAGCCAAGTCACTGCCTGCCCCGCCAGCACTCCACAGGGCCACTGGTTCGAGTCCCGGCTGCCCCACTCATGATCCAGCTCCCTGTTTAGGGCTTGGGAAAGCAGTAGAGGACAACCTAAGACCTTGAGACCCTGCACCCACTCGGGAGACTCAGAAGAGGCTCCTAGTGCCTGGCTCCAGATCGGTTCAGCTCCGGCCGTTGCAGCCACTGGGAGAGTTAACCAGCAGGTGGAAGATCTGTCTCTCCTTCTCTCTGTGTAAGTTTGCCTTTTCAATAAAAATAAATAACTGTTTTTACAGATTAATTTGAAAACCAGGGTTAGAGACCTTCCATCTGCTGATTCCCACCTCCAAATGGCTGTAACAACTAGGGCTGGGCCAGGAGAAACCAGCAGGGGCTCCATCAGGTCTGCCACGTGGGCGCAGGGACCCACGCGGTCGGGCCATCACTTGCTGCCTTCCCAGGTGTGTTAGCAGGGAGCTGGGTGGGAAGCAGAGCAGCTGGGATATGAACTGGCTTCCACATGGCTACCCCAGAGTGCCGGTCCGTGCTGCGCCACTTAAGGCAGGGTATTGGTGGTGTGTGGACTGTAGCTGGCTGAGTCCTCACAAACTCACTAGTAGGAACAAGAAGCTATCCTGGGCATTGGTGCCCACCCAGAGTCGGAGGAAGTTCCCTCTGAAAGTTGAGGGACAGGAGGGTGTCGGGGCACTCCGTGTCAGGGGGTACCCACACCAGGAGCCACCAAGGGGCCACACAGGACCCCTCACTTTGCACCACGTAGGCATCAAGGTCTCAGCACTGAGCTGACCAGAGGGCCCTGCCCAGTCTCCACCCCCCTGAACTGCAGGGAAGGCTGCTGGTCTGAACCTGCCCCCACACCCTGGAGCCAGACCCTACCGTCAACATAGCGGGGGATCTGGCCGAAGATGGTGAGGTACGAGTGGTAGACAACCCCACGGAAGATCCAGTCCACACGGTTCTCATTGTGGATGAGGATGGCCTGCTGGGCCACCCCAAAGGACACCACCCACACAGCCAGCAGGAAGAGGAAGAAAAAGACGTCCTTCATCTGCAGAGACAGTGAATGCTCATGTGGTACAGCCCGGGGAGGGGGGAGCCCAGGGTAGCAGGGGACCAGGGAGGGGGAGCCTGGGGTGGCAGGGGACCAGGGAGGGGGAGCCTGGGGTGGCAGGGGACCAGGGAGGGAGGAGCCGTGGAGGTGGTAGGGGACCAGGGAGGGAGGAGCCCAGGGCTGGCAGTGGTCCGAGGAGGGAGGAGCCGCGGAGGTGGTAGGGGACCAGGGAGGGAGGACCCCGGGGCTGGCAGTGGTCCGAGGAGGGAGGAGCCGCGGAGGTGGCAGGGGCCTGGGGAGGGCATTGCGGGCTCCCCGGGCAGAAGGCCATCCCGGCTGCTCCCTGCACTGGACGTCCTCACCATGCGCTTCACGATGATGATCTTGGGCCCCAGGATCTTGTTGACCGTGAAGATGTGCATGAGCCTCAGGCAGAACATGATAAAGTCCAGGGCGAGGACCACACGCCCGGGGTACAGTGTGGCCGGGATGAGCCTGGTGGGCACACCGGGCACAGCCACCTCAGCACAGACTAGTGCCCGCCCGGCCTGGTGTGCCCCACTAGGCCCCTGGACCAAGGCCAGGTAGGAGGTCACGGCTTCTGTGCAGAAAGGCCCAGAAACCCGGCCCAGGCAGGGGAGCCAAGCCATGGGGGCTCAGGGGGCAGGAAGGGCAGACCACGGGAGCCCCTCTGCTGGCGGGGGTGAACGCAGCCTCACAGGGACACCGAGTCTCCCTGGGCAGAAAGTAACCCTGGAGGGGATACCCTGAGCTGCCCAGGAGCACCCCAGGCCACAGTGCTCCATCCCAATCCCTTAGGCAGTGGCACCACAGTGGCCACCCCCAGGCCCACCCACCAGATACACCCCAGCCCACAGCTGCCCACCTGCAGATCAGCCCCACTATGAAGAGCAGGATGGCTGCCACGTCCAGCTTGTTCCAAAAGTCGCTTAAGTACAAGGCCACCATCTTCACCAGCCCGTACTCGTCAGGGTCACAGAGGAGCTGCCGAGGCCACAGAGGTGGTTACCATGGAAACCCTCGCCGCCCCCATGGGTGGGGTGGGGTCTCCATGATTCCTGACCCTGGAGCTAGTGGACGGCCCAGGACAAGCAGGTGCCCTCTGGATGTGGGGATGTAGGGGGCACTGGCCCCCATGCAGGAGGTTGTGTGGAGGGGCCTGCCCTGCTACAGCACATTAACCTCCATCTCCCATGAGGGGGCTGGTTCGAGTCCCGCCTTCTGCACTTCCCACCCAGCTCCCTGCTAATGGCCTGGGAAAGCAGCGCATGATGGCCCAGTCGCCTGGGCCCCTGCATCCACAGGGGAGACTCAGATGGAGCGCCTGGCTCCTGGCTTTGGCCTGGGCCAGCACTGGTCATCGTGGCCATCTGGGGAATGAGACAGGGATCAGATCTTTCCGTGAATTCTCTGCCTGTGAGGCACAGCCAGGGCCCCAGTTCATGCCTGTCCTACCTGTCCTGGGCTGCAGGACCCTCAGACTCCCGGCACAAGACCTCTCCCAGCTCAAAGGACACCCCAGAGGGTGACACAGTGAGTGGGACCCCTGTGTGGAAGCCTTCACCTCGACTCCCAAGCAGGAGTGACCTAGGAGGCCTGCCAACATCCCGTATCCTGGGACCACCAGGACCGGGCGCACCTGCCGTATCTCCTCACACACGAGGGACAGAAGCCACAGGTAAACCAGGTACTCGCAGTAGGACGGTGTGGGTTGGAAGTCCACCATGAGCACATAGGCGAAGAGGCAGAGGAAGGCGAAATATGACAGCGTGTACAGGAGGAAGACGACCACGGGTGCTGTGAAGAAGGCAGAGATGCGGGCCAGGCCCCTTGGGGCCCGTGGCCTCTTGTTCCTGCAGGCAGAGCCAGGGCAGGCAGTGAGGCTGGGGTCCCAGCACCTGCCCCCCGAGCTGCATTCACCCCAAGTGGGGAACAGTATCCAGGGGAACCGTGCTTGGGGCGGGGCGAAGGGTACCCTAGGCCTGGGCATCCCAAGAAGACGGCTCTGATGTCCTCAGGGCAGGGACATGGCAGTGGCAGAGGTCCCAGGTACCTGGGTCCCAGGCAGCTCGCCTCCCATCTCTACATGCTCGGAACAGCATTGCCTAGGTGCCCCCGGGTCCTGGGCACTCACAACCACTCAGTGGCCTGTGGCCTTGGCCACTAGGAGGACAGTGCAGGCACCTGCCTGTGGCCCACATTTTCTGGCAGGGGCTCAACTGCCAACCACCCAGGCAGGGACCCCACATCTGCTGTCCCCAGCTCCCAGGGAACCCAGGACCTCCACCTGCTCCCTGGTTTTCAGTCCGGGCAACAGGGTGACTGCACCCAACACAGGCTGGCCCGGGCTGACTCTGGCTGCCGGGATGGGTGGTACAGAGGCCTCGGGCAGGGGTGGGCACAGTGGTGCTCTTCCTGCATGGTGAGGGGACAGTGTTGGGACAGAGTCCCACCTTGGCTTCTGCCCATGCACCTATCCCATCACAACCACCCAGTCCCCACCCCTAGCTCACAGTGGCCTCATTTGGGGGAGAAGCTTCTGGGCCCAGTCCCAGTGGCCTTCATCCCAACGCACCTGAAGGAGACCAGGCCTGTGAACAGCAGCGGGAAGAAGAGCAGGCACAGCAGCACCTGCCACAGCCTGGTGTCCACACACAGCTGGCCCCACCACACATTGGTCAGGAAGGCCTGTGGGGATGAGGGGCAGGGGTCTCAGGGCATGGCAGCAGAGCCCAGAGGGCCACACCCAGCGCAACAAGCCCGATGTGGGACGGGCCGTGCCGTCAGCCTGCTGAGGCACATTAGGAAACAGCAGGGCAGGCTGTCACACAAACTGGCCACCTGTCCCTTGTACTGTGGGAACCGCCTCCTGGGACCCACCCAGACTGGCCCTCATGTCCTGCAGGGTTAGGAGGAGACCCTACCCCGGGTGCCCCCAGACACCCCCAGGCGTGAGGGAGCCTGGGAGATGCGGTGATGGCCTGGAGCCGGCTCCCAGGGATCCAGCGTATAGGATCACTCGCCTGGCCCAGCGGTGTATGGCTGACACTGCCCAGCCCATCCCTGATGTCCCCAGTAGGGAGCGCGAACATGCAACACCGCAAATGAGGAGCTTCCCTGGCTCCCTAACGGGCAGCATGGGGCAGGTGGCTGCCAGCCCAGTGCCAGCCCTGGTGGCTAAGCTGTGACACACGTGACACCGACACCAGGCATGTGTGAGCTGAGGCCATGCGCCCCCCCGACACACACAGAACATGGTGCCCATGCGCAGGCAGGCTGGGAAAGTACCTGGATGCCCCCATGAGACACAAACTTCATGGCCTTGGCCTCCAGGGCCAGCTGCAGGCAGGTGGTCTTGCCCCAGCCCTCCGACACACGGATCAGCAGCTTCTGGGCCCTCTCCTCATCCTTCCGGTAGCACTCGGTAAAGACACCTGGGGCATGGGGGGACCAGGTCAGGGCAGGGCGGGCAGCATGGGGCGGCACCCGAGTGCCCAGCCCTGGGGCAGGCTCACCGATGGCCCTGTGCTCAAACTCCCTGGCCAGTGCCTGCATCTCCTCCGAGGTGTCCGTGTCCTTCTCTTCCTGGCTCAGCGCCTTCAGGATCTTGCTGCACGCCAAGGCCGCCACAATGCAGTCCTGGCTCTGGAGGCCGGGGCAGCGCCGTGAGGCCATCAGGATCCACCCAGGCTCCCCCAGGTCCAACCTCCCTCTACCACCCCAGGCTGCCCGGCTGGCCTCCACACAGCCATGTCCACCCAGGAGCAGGTCACATTACCTGAGCCCAGACGATGCCCGCCAACTCCCAGCGGTTCTGGACAACGGCCCAAATGAGGAGGTCCCGCATGGGGTCCACGGTGGAGGTGGTGTGGTTGGTGGAGCGTTTATAGAGTGACCGGAGACTCACTGCCTGCACCTGCAGGGCAACGGCCACTCTGAGGCCCAGGCCACACCCTCAATGTCCCTGTTCCTGATCTGGCCCTTAGCTGCTCTTCCAGTGACAGCCCTGAAGACTGGAAAAGCACTGCTCTGGAAGCATCTAGAAGATCTAGAAAGTGGTCCACCATCTGACAAGGTCAGCCCCCAGCTCACGCCAACCTGCCTTAACACGCAGCTGGGAGCTCCTGGGGGGATCCATCTCAGACCCATGGCCTCCAGAGCAGGGGACACATCTCCCACATCGCACCCAGCACCAGTTTTTGTAAGCGATTCTAGAAATTTCCTGAGTCTGATCCTTGTGAAGAAATCGGTTTGCCTTCTTAAACCACAGACACAAGTGAGCTTGAGCTGCCCAGTCCAGCCCAGCAGGCAGCTTCCCTCTGCAGCACTAGCCTGAGCCAGTGGAGGGCACCACAGCACGCCCAACACCCGAGCACAGTCCCCTTAGCCGGAGCTCCAGGCACCGGGACAGGCACAAGGCGGACAAGATGGGCAGCAGGTGTCCCTGACCTACCCACACCAGGGGGCTCGGGACCCGCCTCAGGGCCAGGGGACTGTTCTCCTTTCGGAAACAGGCTCAATTCCAGCCCTAACTGTTACTGCAGGACCCCAGGGGACGGTGTCCCCGCAGAGGAAGAAGTGACCCCAGGTGCTCTCCCCAGCAGGAGGGGGGTCGCCCGTGGGCAGGCTGGGGCTGGAGGGCGGGGGGACTCCCTCTCCACCTGGGAGCTGTCCATCTCACAGTGAGCCCACGAGCCGACCCTGGGGCCTGAGTGGTACATACACAGAACTTGGACTTGGGCAGCCGTGTCTGGTCGCTGCAGTGGGGCCGTGGGTGCAGTGGCTGTGTGAAGTCACCCAGCAGCTCACGCAGCACCTGGGCCACGTGGTGCATCTGCAGGGTCTCGGCAGCCGCGTCCTCGGCCAGCACCTCTCGCAGCTTGCAGTGGAACAGGCACAAGGGCTCGAGGTTATTGTAGAGGTGCAAGAGCGTGTCCTGGGTGACAAAGTCCTGCAGCTGCACCCCTTGCTCCAGGAACAGCCGCACAAACTCGGGCTTGTTGGAGATGAGCGCGGCCAGCACCATGGGGTGCAGATCTGAGGGCTGAGAGCCGGGAGTGCCCCTCAAGTCCACTGCCAAGGACCCCCACACCCATCCACATCCCTCAGGGCCCCCCAAAACACACACAGCCACACCTCCTGGACCACCCAACCCATACACACACACAGCCATATTCCCTGGCCTTCCCACCCTGTCCACACAACCACCATGTGCCCTGGGGGACCCCCAGAGCCCCACCTTCCACTGCCACTCATCAGTGAAAATCTCGCTGCGGGCAATGTCCACGCGGTTCCAGGCTACGGCCAGCTTCAGCTGGTGGTCCCAGTTCTCTTGGCCAAAGTGGTCATGGCTCCGCGAGGCTGCAGGCGAAGTGTAGGGGTCGGGGGCTTCGAGCCAAAGCTCCCTCCACAGACGCTCCAACTCCTGCCCCGCGCTCAGTCTCGGCCTCCGCTGGCTGGCCTTCTCTCCTGAACGGGCTGCACTCTGTCCTGCCCCCACCCAGGCCCTTGTCCCCACCCTGCCCCTGTCCTGCCCACCCAGTCACAGTGTGCTCCTGGCCTGACAGGGACCCACAGTGCTGGTCTCTCCTGGCAATGGTTCCCCCTGGTGAGGTAGGTGTGGCCTGTCAGTCAGGCTGCCCTGGCTGCCACGGGACGTCTCCTGGGGACCACCCTCCCCTGCTCAGCCTTCTGGCACCTTCTGAGCTGTTTCCATCCCCAGCTCTTTCTGATGATTTTTATTTTATTTGTTGAGAGAGAGGGAGAGATCTTCCACCCACTGGGTCACTTCCCAGTTGTCCACAACACCTGGGCTGAGCGAGCTGAAGCCAGGAGCCTGGGACTCCATCCGGGTCCCCCAGTTGAGTAGCAGGGACTCCTGGACTCACACCAGCAGGAAAGCGTGAACGGTTCCCACTTCTTCCAGGGTCGGACCTCGCTGCCTGGGGTGCCTCGCTGTCCCCAAGTGGCAGAGCTCCAGGCAGAACAGCATGGGAAGGGGGACGAAAGGGAGACTCCCAGCTGCCCACACAGGAATTCATGACATCCAGCACATCAGTGTCAAAGGTCAGGGGAGAAAGGAACTGGCCTCTGATGCACCAGGTGGCCGACACCCCAAGTCCTGCCCATGGACCTCTCCCCCAAGATCCCCCCTACCTAACCCTCACCTTTCAGCAAGGCGTGCAGGATGGCCACGTCCACATCCTGCTGGCCATCCTTGCCCTCCCGGAAGATGGTCAACAGCTGTCGCTGGCGGACGATGTCCTGGATCTGCCACAAATGTGAGCATCTGAGGGGGCAGCAGTAGCCAACGATGGCTGCCTGCTCTGTCTCCGTTAGGGACATGGGACTGAGGCCTTGGCCTGGAGCTGTGCACACGGGACTGCCACCTGCCCCCTCCTCCTGTGACAGGGAAGGAAAGACCCAGGGAGCCAGCACACACCACGTGGGTCTGTGGGTGGAACACGACTAGAGCACAAAGATCCCCTTTCCAAAGGCGACGCCCAATGACCAATCAACCAGCACTACTGCAACTGTGGCTCCCCCTCCACCTCCCTGTCCGCCTCCGGCCCTTCCCACAGCATCCGCCCACCTGCTGTCCATCAGACATTTGTAATCCACTCACCCATCCCTACCTTGTACCCAACCTCTCACCTCCCCTCTGTCCATCCACTGCCCATCAGGTGACCCACCCACCCACCCATTTACCTAGCTCCACATCTGTATGCATATTCATCACCCAGCCAGCTCTGTGTCTATAGAACCACCTAGCAGCCCTGCGTACCTCGCCCACCCAGCCAGCTCTGTGTCTACCACCTAGCCGCCCTGCATACCTTGCCCACCCAGCCAGCTCTGTGTCTACAGAACCACCTAGCAGCCCTGTGTACCTTGCCCACCCAGCCAGCTCTGTGTCTACCACCTAGCCGCCCTGCATACCTTGCCCACCCAGCCAGCTGTGTGTCTATAGAACCACCTAGCCGCCCTGCGTACCTCACCCACCCAGCCAGCTGTGTGTCTATAGAACCACCTAGCCACCCTGCATACCTTGCCCACCCAGCCAGCCAACTGTTGTATGCACACACCTCCCATCCATGTGTGTGTGTCTCACTGTGTACCAGAGTACCCACCCCCTTGTCCATCTCTCTTCTGTCCATCCACTGCCCACTCTCCCACTGGGCAGGATTCTCAGCCAGGCTCACAGCTGGTACAGGACAACAGCTGGTGGGGGAGTGGGGAGGCTAGCCAGTCTGGCCGTGAGCTGACCCAACAAAGCTCTGCCAAGATTGACCCCAAGACAAGGTGCCCACCATGGAGGCCCACTCACAGGTCTGGGGCTCCTACAAAGACACACAGGTTCAGATCAGCCAGGGCGGCACGTGGGCAGGGGATGTCACAGGCATCAAAGGAAGGATGTCCCATGAGCCCACCTGGGTCCTCTGGAGCCTGAGTGGCGGCCTGGGTCGCGGGGTTTCAGAGCAGGGCAGATGCAAGGCAGGCCAGCTAACTGCCATGGGAAGCCTCTGTGCAGCGGCTGCCACTGCCTGCCAGGGCTGTCCCCTGGGGCTGCACAGTGTTCCCAACAACGGAAACTGCTCTGGAACCAGAGGGAGGGAGTGAGGGTGGGAAGAGGGGGCGCCACCCAGGGATGGTCACAGCCTCAGCCCTGCCTATCTGCCACCAGCAGCCTCACCAGCTGCAGATCTGCCTGCACTCCCTGCGTCCCCTCTGCCTGTACCCCCGCATCCCGTCCCAGCACCCCCAGACGTCTTCTGTGTGCCTCCACGTGAGGGACAGTCACCCCCCTACTCCAGGTGCAGGGGGCAGGTCAGGTATGCCATCCTCTCCCCGGCCAGCTCAGGACACAGCCGCCCTGCCGGGCCCCCCAAGGACCTGGTGCTGGCTCCGAGCTCAGGACACACAGTGCCCGCGCACCCCCTGCAGCCTTCTGCTCTGAGCCCTGAACTGGCCCCACCGGCTCCCCCTCCACCCACTCTGCCTGCCTCCCTCCTCATCCTCCACATCTCCCTGGGAGTCAGCGAAGCTGGCCTGCACCTCAGCTCATGCTGCTCCCCTGCCTGCCTCCCCTCTATCTCTGCAGCACCCTCCCCCATACAGCCCCTGCAGAGTCTGGGGTGAGCGTTAAGCCCCGCACCCCTGCCCCATTGTCCCATCATCCCGCCTGGGGTCTCCTGCCCATCCTGGGCTCAGAGCGACCCCTCGGTCCAGACCGGCTGGGGCCTGCACCCTGGGTCCACGGCACCTCGATGCCCACACCTTCTTGGTCCACTCGATGAACTGGTTCTCGGTGAAGGTCTCGAAGTCATCTTGGAAGAAGAGGCTCAGTTTCTGCTGGATCAGGGCCACAGTGACGGCAGAGACGGGCAGGCAGGCCACCTGGGCGATGACGTCGGCCACACGACCTGAGCCCTCCACTACCACACAGGGTGTGCCGTTGGTGATGGCGTTGTAGATGGTCTGTGTGTGGGGGTGCCCATGAGCCTGCTGGGGTGCCAGCTGTACCCCAGATCCCCTTGGGCAGTGGCAGGGGTGGGGGGCATGGTCAGGGCTGCACCCCACGGAGAGTCCTGCTGGGGCCTCAGCTGCTGAAGGGGTGGAGCTGCCACTCAGCATCGCCATAGTAACAGGACTCCATCCCCGCCCACCCTGGGACCTGCACCCAGTTACATAGGCCCCAAGAGGAGCCAGGGCTCAGGGGAGATTTCAGTGATGCTCACCCTGGGAGAGGAAACAGCTCAGGGCCTGATAGGCAGGACTCTCCCCAACGTCCCAAAAGCAGCCCCCAGGCCGGGCGCTGGAGCAGCCGCCAGAGCCAGGCACCCCCATACCGCCACCACCGGAACTCACGTTCAGCGTGCCAGGGCCACCCTCCAGCACCACACAGACAATGGGGATCTTGATGTCCACACCTGGTCAAAACATGGACCCTGAGTAAGGGCACCTCGCCCAACCCAGCCCCCAAAGCCTAACCCGACCGGGGCGACACGGACAACTGAATGGCCGGTGAGAAGGGACCTTGAAGGCGGCCACTCCAAGCTTGCAGGGGACTCGCTTGCCCTGTCCCTCCCCACTCACAGCCGTGTTCCCCGCTGCCCCAGGGACAGACACCGCCCTGGGGCCGCCCACTGGTGAAAGCGGCAGGGAGGCTCAGTGTGCAGAGCCCCAGCCCTCGTCCCCTCACCCACTCACCGCCTCTCTCCTTTCTTTGTTCCGATATGTACTTCTCCAGCTTGGTCCTCAGGGGGATCTCGACCCCGTACCGGCCGTGCGTGCCGTCGTCCACCAGGATGAAGTGGGAGTGGTTACTGTCCAGGCACGTGAGGCTGCCCTGGCCCTCCTCGTCCATGGTGTACTCGGCAGGGAAGCACCCCTGAGGACAGCCGGGCGCAGCAGACACGGACTGAGTGAGCCTACACCCAGCGCTGGCTCGGAGCACTGGCCACCCCCGGGCCTATGACCGTGAGCTCATTTCAACCAGAGGCGGAGGGCTGGGGGAGGTTAGGACAAGATTCTCAACAAGGCAAGATGAGCCAGGGCCGTCCGTCGGGGACCGAAGCGCCAGTGTCCCCACGAAACAAGCGGGCCCACAGGTGCACAAGGCAGGGCTGGAGGAAAGAATTTGGAAGCAGGTACCCAGCATGGCAGACAACACCTGGGCACTGAGCAAGGCACAGGCAGGGGCTGAGCACGGTGGGAATGGGAAAAGATTTTCTGAAAGATTGGGTTGGGCCAGCATCACGGTGTAGCAGGCAAAGCCACCAGCTGCACGGCACAGAGCTGAGCTGGACATGGGGTCCATTAACAGTGGCCGGCAGCACTCAGAGCTCCAGCCATGTGTGAGGGCACAGCCTGGCTACTTCTTACAACTGCTCATAAAACACAGATGAAAACAGACAAATTGAGGGAAGAACTAACGGGAAAAACATGATTGCACAGAACCCCAGGCCTTGGTGCTTTGGGACACCGTGGGCCTCCACAGAGTACGCAGAACACCAGAAGCATTCCCTGACAGAGGGAGGAAAGGACACGTGGCTCAACAGAATGCTGAAGTCGATTGACCACGGCAAAGCCCCCAGCGAGCACGCGTCCAGACTGGGAGAGACACGCGAGGAGGCAGAGCAAGGTCTGAAGGCTGCCAGAGGTGTGCAGGTGGCAGTCAGAGGCTAAGCCCGAGGCACACAGGGGCTGTCCTCATGAGGGTGATGGGGGCAGAGGTGCAGGGAGAGTTCCAGACTTTCAAGAATTTGCCCCAGGATTAGCATTGTCAACTGGACACTTCCACGCTGCCCTGTGAATGCGGACAGCTGTGACTGGTATTCAGGTGTTGGTGGGGACGGCTGGGATGGTCACTTGGTGTTGGTGGGGACGGCTGGGATGGTCACCTGGTGTTGGTGGGGACGGCTGGGATGGTCACATGGGTGCTGGTGGGGACGCTGGGATGGTCACATGGGTGCTGGTGGGGACGGCTGGGATGGTCACCTGGTGTTGGTGGGGACGGCTGGGATGGTCACATGGGTGCCGGTGGGGACGGCTGGGATGGTCACCTGGTGTTGGTGGGGACGGCTGGGATGGTCACTTGGTGCCGGTGGGGACAGCTGGGATGGTCACCTGGTGTTGCTGAGGACAGCTGTGACTGGTATTCAGGTGCTGGTGGGGACGGCTGGGATGGTCACCTAGTGTTGGTGGGGACGGCTGGGATGGTCACTTGGTGTTGGTGGGGACGGCTGGGATGGTCACCTGGTGTTGGTGGGGACGCTGGGATGGTCACCTAGTGTTGGTGGGGACGGCTGGGATGGTCACTTGGTGTTGGTGGGGACGGCTGGGATGGTCACCTGGTGTTGGTGGGGACGGCTGGGATGGTCACCTAGTGTTGGTGGGGACGGCTGGGATGGTCACCTAGTGTTGGTGGGGACGGCTGGGATGGTCACTTGGTGCCGGTGGGGACAGCTGGGATGGTCACCTGGTGTTGCTGAGGACAGCTGTGACTGGTATTCAGGTGCTGGTGGGGACGGCTGGGATGGTCACTTGGTGTTTGTGGGGACGGCTGGGATGGTCACCTGGTGTTGGTGGGGACGCTGGGATGGTCACCTAGTGTTGGTGGGGACGGCTGGGATGGTCACTTGGTGTTGGTGGGGACGGCTGGGATGGTCACCTAGTGTTGGTGGGGACGGCTGGGATGGTCACCTAGTGTTGGTGGGGACGGCTGGGATGGTCACCTGGTGTTGGTGGGGATGCTGGGATGGTCACTTGGTGCTGGTGGTACCCTTCGTGGCTGTTCATGATGTGGCCTTTCCCTCTGTTGTGTCCTCCGCCCTGGCCCTGAGCTCCCTGTGGCTGAGCTGACCATGTTCCCTGCCTATCCTTGCACTAAGAACTGTGAGCTGACAAATGCTTCTTGAGCCAGCCTTAGCTGTTTGAGAAATGACCAGCTCACCTGTCCCAGGGACAACAGGAGTAAGATTTGCCCCAGGAAAGGCCCCCAGCATAGCAGGCACACCTCTGTGGGGCAGTGGACAGTCAAGCTGATGCTGTGGGTGGGCGAGAGGTGGAAGTGCTTTCACAGGACACGGACATGACCCTGGGCAGGGGCCCAATTGCAGCAGTCGCGCCACCCCAGCTACCCAACGACGTCAAGTCCCTGTCTCTGTGGTTGCTGCCTCAGTTTCCTCCTCTGTCCAACGAGCAGGCAGCTGGGCCAAGCCAGGCCTGTGCAGCTAACCCCCCCTCAAGTGTGGATGGAATACAGAGCCCATGTTACTTGTCCTGCAGGCCCCTCACAACCCACACCAAAGGGATGCACGTCCTCACCCAGAAAACAAACAGAGCAAGAGCCTGCTCAGCCCAGCCTTGCAGTCAGAGAGGAGGCCAGTGTGGGGCCACCCGGGCCAGATCCCCGCCCTGAGCGCCCAGGCCCCCACCGTCAAAAGCACAGGCTTCGAGCATCAGATAGCCTGAGTCCTGCCAGCTGAGCCCTCAGCCACACCCCTGCCCTGGTCCATCCACGTTGTCCCTGTCCCCTCCCACACTGCGCCAGCAGCCAGGCCCAGCCCCGGCGCCTGCAGCCCTGGTCCACTCACCTTAACATTGATCAGACTCTGCCGGTTGTGGACGGCGCCCCACGTGGCCACCCCGATGGTAATGACCTCCCCCGCCTTGTAGCTGCTGCTCGTGCTGAAGTCCCGCACTGCCTCCCCAACCTGCTTCATCACGCCGGCGTGGGAGCCCCCAGTGATGATCCAGGCCCCTGGGGAGAGCAGACGGACAGTCCTGAGGCACGCCTACCCCGTGGACACCTGACACCCGGGCCCTTGATCTGCACATGTCTCCCTCAGGGGCCTCTGGACAGCCCGGCAGCTGCGAGTCTCCAGGGAGGCGAAGGCAGTGACAGCAGGTACACGGCCCACCTCAGGAGCCACGTGTCCTGCAAATGGGGGGGACAGTGGTGCAGAACAGGGACCCCATCTTCCCACGGCCCTACCTCACTTCCTGTGGCCAGGGGTTGGGGTGCAGAACAGGGACCCCATCTTCCCACGGCCCTACCTCACTTCCTGTGGCCAGGGGTTGGGGTGCAGAACAGGGACCCCATCTTCCCACGGCCCTACCTCACTTCCTGTGGCCAGGGGTTGGGGTGCAGAACAGGGACCCCATCTTCCCACGGCCCTACCTCACTTCCTGCAGCTGGGGGTGGAGGTGCAGAATATCAGATGAGGTTCGAACTCTTGGACCAGGCTTCTGCTGACCTCTGAACAGCGGCTGCCCAGGGTAAGATGGCCCCAAGCAGCAGCCTGTGCCAGCGCCACATGGGCTGTGAGCCTCCGCATGAGGCTGGGCAGCTGCTCAAAAGTAAGGGCACACGACACACCGGCTCAGTGGCTAACCCTTCACCTCCAAGCACCAGCATCCCATATGGGCACTGGTTTGTGTCCTGGATGCCCCATATCCCACCCAGCTCCCTGCCTGTGGCCTGGGAAAGCAGCAGAGGATGGCCCACAGCCTTGGGACCCTGCATCCACATAGGAGACCTGAAAGAAGCTCCTGGCTCCTGGCTTGGGTTCAGCTCAGCTCTGGCCTTTGTAGCCACTTGGGAAATAAACCAGTAGATGGATCTTTCTCTCCTTCTCTCCTTTCTCTGTATATCTGACTTTCCAATAAAAATAAGTAAATCTTTACTAAGAAACCAGGGGCCTGGCAGGTGAGCCATGCCTTGTCCTGAGATAAAATGAAACAACACAAAGCACCCCCTCAGTGTGGGGCGGCGGGTGGGGCCGTGGTGCTCCCTGCAGCCCGGCCCCCTCCACGGTACCTGTGGTCTGCGCGACCTTGACCAGGCCTCTGCGGAAGAGGCTCTTCAGCCTGGGCTTCATGTTGAAGTTCTTGGCCCCACCGGTCACTGAGATGAGCAGGTTGGGGATGTCCAGGCCCCAGTGCTGGGTCATGAGTTGGTAGATGACACTGGACGGTGTGTCCTGGGACACGCGGACGTACTGCAGGAAGCGGCTCTGAATCAGCAGGCTGCACAGCCACGTGGCCAGGGCCTGCCTGGGCCAGCTGCCCACTACACAGCATAGCGGCAAGGCCTGCAGGAGGGGCCCGGGACGTGGCCTCACTCTCACCCTCATGGGGGACTAGGTCCTCGCCCCCTTAGAGAACTGGCCAGGGGCCCATAAGGAAGACAGGCAGGTACCAGGCAGGTCCAGGCCCTGTGGTCATGAGCCCACATGGACTCTGTCTCCACAGCTGACCCAGCCTCAGACAGGCCCCCGCTGGACAGGGGACATGCGTCCTGGGACTCACACTTGGTAAGAAAGGGGAGGCGGGGTGCTGTGTTAGACCGGCTCAGAGGCCACAGAGACCGGGGTGCAGGACAGAACACAGCTGCATGAGGCTCAGCCAAGCCACCCCTGTCCTCCCCTGCGGCTCAGCGACATCAGAGTCCCCAGGTTCTAGCCCAGCCACTTCACCTGTGCCCCAGCTCCCTGCCAGCAGCCATGTACCGTGTACCGTGGCCAGGACACGGACCCTGCACCCACATGGCCACAGGCAGAGCTCCTGGCCCCTGGCCTCAGCCTGACAGCCCTGGCTGTTGCAGGCATCCAGGGAGTGGACCAGAGTGGAAGATCTCTCTCTCTCCCTCCCTCACCCCCTCTACCTTTCCAGTTGATGAAAATAACCACTCTTTTAGGATATGAAGTTCACCCACAGGGTTGCCTCCAGTCATATGGTAGGGGTGGGCCATGCCCCAAGGCAGACCCTTGGCTGTGGGGCTCCGGGCTTTGCCCCCAGGTGCTGGCTCCCATGGCGCCTGCAGTGTTCTCTTTGCCACCAGCTGCCCCTGTTGGAGCTGCAGGGCTCCTGGGTACAGGCCTGCCGCCTGCCATGGCCCTGAGCACAGAACAACAGTGGGACTGCCCAGGTGGGGAGCCCCAGCTGGGAACTGTAGGGACCCCAGGCCACAGGGCTACTCCAGGGGACCTCCTTCCCAGGCCCAGTCTCAAGGGCACTTGGGGAGCTGGGGCAAAGATCATGCCAGCTGCTAAGAAGCTCCAAGGGGCAAGGGTCTGGCACAGCGACCAGTGGCGTCAGCTGTCCCCCCAGGACAGCTGTGACAGAAGCCCAGCTAAGCTGCAGGCTGCCAAGCCCTGGGTGCTCACTGGGGGACCACACAGGGGTGCAGGGGCCAGGGGACACAGCCTAGGCCTGGACTCTCCCGTCCCATCCCCAGCCTAGGCCGTGTCCATAGCACAGAGCCCTCCTTACAGCCTGCTCCTTGCCACGCCTCACAGCCACAGTCCCCAGGCCTGCGCTGGCCTCACTCGGCTCCCGGACAGCCGGGACTCCGGGCAGGAGCCGGCAGATCCCCTGCCCGCCCTGGCCCTCAGCCCCAGGCGTCCCCCAAGTCTCCCTCACCAGGGACTCCTGCACCACTGTCCCTGGGGTCCCCTGCATGGTCACTGCCCTCAGAGCCGCGGGGACAGAGCTGACCTTCCCCAGCTTCTGGCCCAGGCCAGCGAAGACAATGTCCCCAAAGGCGTCCGTGGCCATCTCCTGCACGTGTGTCTTCAGGTCCCACTCCTTGCCCTGGAAGGCCATGGGCTTGGTGACCTCTTCTGGGTGCTTCTCACGAGGGTAGCCACACTCACACACCACCTCTCTGTGGAGACACGATGCAGTCGGATCACCGTGAACAGGAGGGAAGAGCCCCTCGCTGTCCTGGGACCTCCTCCCCACCGGCAGTGACAAGGGACCCTGGACGGGCAGGAACTTCAGCCTCTGGTCCTGCAGTGTAAGCTGAGCCGTGGGCAGGTTGGATTCTGCACCATGTCCCTTCCTGCCCACACCCGCAGGTCACAGGACTCAGGGGTCACACAGGGCCCTGCCTCCAGGAGCCAGGGAACCTCCTCCTGAGTGGAGGGGACCCGCAGGACCGTAAGTAGAGGGTCTCAGGGGCCATCCTAAGATGCTTCATCAAGCAATCTCAGACAGGAAATATGAGCAGTGATGCCATGACATAACAAGCCACACAGGCATCCCATATGGGCACCAGCTGCTCTACTTGTAAGGCGGCACTCTGAGGACTGACCCCACCATCCTGGACTCAGTGCCACCCTCAAGGCCTTGAAAGCCTGCTGACCCAGCACTACCGTAAACCTCCTAGGTCTCAGCCCCCTGAGCACCTGCTGACCCAGCACTACTTCCTAGGTCTCAGCCCCTCAAGGCCCACTAGCCTAATTCAGTTAGTGACCTTCAGGTTTAAACTGTGCACTCACCAGTCCCCTGGGCATTTATCCCTGGCGTCCCCTACAGCCGCACCTGCCAGTCCCTGCGCTGGCACTCCCCACACCCACCTCCAGGCTGGAAAGGTGCCCTGCCCTTTGTTCCAGCTCCCTCCTCCTGTGTCTGTCTCTCTCTCAGTCTCTGTGTGTGTCTCTCTATCTCTCTGTATCCCTGTCTCTGTCTCTCTCCCACCCTCCCTGTCTCTCAGTTCTCTGCTCTGTCTCTCTCTCTCTGTGTCTCTCTCTCGCTCTCTCTCTTCTCTGCTCTGCTCTGTCTCTCTCTCATCATGTGTTCTGTCTCTATCTCCCTCCCTCCCTCTCTCTCAGCTCTTCCTCTGCTCTGCTCCTTGTCTCCCATCTCGTGCTCTGTCTCTCTCTGTCTCTGTCTGTCTCTCTCTCAGCTTTTCTCTGCTCTCTGTCTCTGTCTCTCTCTGTCTCCCTGCTTTCTCTCTGCTCTGCTCACTGTCCCCCTGGCCCACACTACCTCCCTCGCTGACAGGAAGTCTGTCTTGTGGCTCAGTTGCTGTGTCTGGCGTCTTGGTTTGTGGGGAACAGCTCCCAGCACCTCCCTGCCAGCTCCCTGCCAGCGGCCTGGGAAAGCAGCAGAGGACAGTCCAGGTGCTTGGGCCCCTGCACCACGTGGGAGACCTAATGACACTCCTGGATCCTGGCAGCCATTTGGGCAGTGACCCAGCAGATAGAAGGTATCTCTCTCTATCTCTCAGTCTCCACCTTTCAAATAAACAAATGACTCTGAGAGAGCTCGCACAATGAATTGTGTTTAAAAACAAATAGGTCACCTTATCACTCCAAACAGTTATGTGGGCAGGCTGAAGGAAGGGTATACACAGCAAGGCATCGCCAGCACATGCCAACACCACGCTGAGCACAGAGGGCAGAGGTCATGCGGTGCCCAATGGCACTCAGGGGTGAAGCACAGACTCTGCCTACAGGGCACAGGGCACAGAGGAGCTGCAGAGGGGACATAAAGGGGGACAGGGAGCTGGGAGGAGAGCCGTCTCCATAGCAGTGTAGTGCTGGTGACAGCACTGTGGTAAGCTGACAGCACACAGACACACATACACACTGTGTCACACACCACACACACGCCATGCACTCATCACACACACCTCCCTACATACACCATATATACAGCACACACGACACACCACACACAGACCACACCATACACACAACACACACACCTCCCTACATACACCATACACACACTGTGTCACACACCACACACAACACACAGACCATATCACAGATACACACACACTGTGTCACACACACACAGACCACACCACACACACACCATGCACTCATCACACACACCTCCCCACATACACCATATATACAGCACACACGACACACCACACACAGACCACACCATACACACAACACACAGACCATATCACAGATACACACACACTGTGTCACACACCACACCACACATACCACACACACACTACATACACCATATACACAGCACACACAACACACAGACCATATCACAGATACACACACACACTGTGTCACACACCACACACACGCCATGCACTCATCACACACCTCCCTACATACACCATTTATACAGCACACACGACACACCACACACAGACCACACCATACACACAACACAGAGACCATATCACAGATACACACACACACTGTGTCACACACCACACACACCACAGACACCACACCACACATACCACACACACACTACATACACCATATACACAGCACACACAACACACAGACCATATCACAGATACACACACACACTGTGTCACACACCACACACACACTGTGTCACACACACAGACCACACCACACACACAACACACAGACCATATCACAGATACATATACACACACTGTGTCACACACACACACACACCACAGACATACCCCACAGTCACACAACGGAGTCTCACACGGCTGCCCCAGGTGACAGTGCCCAAGGCCTCGGGGGACTCCCGTCGCGGAGCTGTCCTTGTGTGTACTCCCGTCCTCTGGTGCAGCCACAGAAGGCCTGTGGTCCTGCCTGTGGGCTGAGGGGTCTCCGGCCACAGCGGCGGTTCGCTGAGGCATCAGGAGGGAGGCGCAGGTGCGTGCTCTATGCACCTGTCTACTGGAAACCACGCTGTTTGCTCAGATTTATACTTCTGCTGGTGACCCATGACCTGAGCAGAGCAGCCACGCGCGCTCCTGGTGCCCCTCCAGCGAGGCTCACCCCAGGAACTCTGAGGCCTGCGGGGAATCCTCATTAGGGGTGCAGAGCCAGCTCCCGCCCCCACTTCCCCACACACGGATCTGGAACAAGCCGCTTCCTTCCCTCCTTCCTCTCTCGGCCCTGTCCCCTCAGATGACATCAGATGTCAAGTGCCACACATATCACACCCTCGGGCCTGACAGTGCAGGAAGCAGCGTGTGCACTACTGACCCACGAAGAGCCTGCCGGGAGCCTGTGGCCGACAGACAGACAGGTGATACCACAGCACGACATCCATGACAGGCACGACACGCACTGCAGGCACGTCGCGGGCATGGCAGCTGTGACACATGCACGCCAGGCATGACTCCACAGGCATTACTGCCATGACATCCATGACAGGCACGACACAGATGTGACCCACGCATGGCTGTACAGTAGCCTGGCACAACAGCACCACACAGAGCCCCTCTCCCATCCAGCCCTTGCCCCCTCTGGAGGGTGACCCTCACCCTCGTCCAGTACCCACCTCAGCCTGGACCTCAGCCAGCAGCTTGCCCTTCATGCTCAAGTGACCTCGGCCTGGAGGTCAGAGGAAAGTCCTGTGCCAGCCAGGGTCTCCCCACAGGTGGAGCGCCAGCTCCCCAAGACTCCTGCTCCTGGCAGACAGGGCTCTCCCCAGGTTGTGCCCACTGGGCCCTGCCATGCATGCAAATGCCTGTGGGCCTTCCTGCAGTCAGGGGCAGAGGTGGGCCCAGGAGCTGGTGTGTCCGGCCCCACACAGGCCCTGGGTTCCCCAACAGAGAGGTGCCCACAGGGAGCCAACCATGTCCCCCTCCCCGCAGGAGGCTCCCACGGACTGCACGGGGTGAAGGCATGGGTTGGTGCACACAGACCCCCCACACACCGCGTTCTCCGGGCCCAGCACTCACAGGCCATGTACCCAGCTAGCGTCCCCCCGAGGCCCACCACAGCGAAGCCGCACCCTTCCCTAGCTCGGCTGCTGAGTGAAGCTAACACACATGGGGTGTCACATCCCACACCGTCCCTGTGGCTGGTGACAGACTGTTCGACCAATTCACCCTTCCCGTGGGGACCCAATGTGCCTCAGCGTCTGTTCCAGCACCCCCAGGGACCCCAAAAGCCACGCACGCGCACACCTGAATCCATCCTGATGTGGGATAAATAGGTGGGCAACTGTTAGGTCTGCCCAGCCCTCGTGCCCTCCTTAGCACGGAGCCTCTGTGGACAGAGGGAGCCCTCCTGCCTGTCGGCCCTGGCCTCACAGCGGCGCCGTGTCTGACTGAAGGGCCTAGCGCTGGCTCCGGTTCCGCCCCTGCCCCCTGCACAGCTAACGACTCCCCCACTTGGGCAGACGTCATGCCGTGGCAGTGAGGGCGCAATGGGGAGAAAAGCCCTGGGCTGTGTCCCAAGTGCACCAGGGTTCCCAGGCACGAGGCCATCCATGGCCGTGGCAGGGCCTGGCAGCACTGGGCTCCCCCCGGCTGCCCCTGCACCCCCAGAGAGCTCCCCTTTCCCACAGGAGCCAGTGACAATGATGCCCCCAACAATGAGACAGCTCTGCCCAGGCCCCAGCCCTGCAGGGTACAGGTGAGTCCCGTGCTGCTACACAGGGACTATGCCAGCAGAGGTTGCACCTGCAAAGGCCCTGGGGCAGGAGAACAGTCAACCAGAGCCCAGAGGGGACGAAGGGGTGAGGGAAGGGAGGGTGTAGTCCACATGCTCCAGCAGCAGGTGCCAGCCCACACCGCTCCGACTGCAGGCTGCCACCACCGCAGCTCCACAGAGGCCTCACAGCCTCGCTGTGCCATGGCTCACTGGGAGGACGGGCTACGTGGCCCCGTACTGGAATTCTCAGGCTGCCATGGCGTCTTCCTGCCCTCGGCACATGTCTCTCAGGGGACACATCTGCTGCCCGACCCGCAGGCCTGGAGACAGAGCATCTACAGAGGCCATGTGGCCCTGGGTCCTGGGGGCTGAGGAATCCCCCTCAGGAATGGGGCTGGACCTGGGCCTTCCCATGGCTCCCCCTTACCCCCAGCTCAGGGTCCCACAGCTCTCCCAGGGCCACATCCGTTGCCCAACCCACAGGCCTGGAGGCCGAGCATAGATAATGGCCATTCGGCAGCCCCAGCCAGCCACCTACACTGTGCACCTGCGGCTCCTTCCCTGCGTGGCGGGGCAGGCGGGGGCTGGGGAGGGTTCAAGCACAACCTCTCGGGCACTCAGCCTGACTGGACACTGTGGACTCCCCTCCACTTGGCCCCAGTCACACCGCGGCCCGCGCTGGGCAGGGGGGAGATGGGACATGCTCTCACCCAGAGTCCGACAGCCTGGCGCTCTCCACAAAGTATACACACTGCTTCTTCTTGATGTTCTCTGAGATCCACGAGCACAGAGCTCCCTGCAGCTGGCACAGAGGGCAACGGAGGCCTTTGAACTCTGCCAGTCCCACCCCAATGGCCACCCCAGCCTCCAGGTGGTACAGAGAGCAACTGAGGCCCTGGGCCTATGCCAGTCCCACCCCAATGGCCACCCGGCCTCCAGGTGGCACAGAGGGCAACGGAGACCCTTGGCCATTGCCAGTCCCACCCCAATGGCTATCCTACCTCCAGGTGGCACAGAGGGCAACGGAGACCCTGGGCCTCTGCCAGTCCCACCACATAAAGCCACCCCAGCCTCGGGGGAGCCCATACCCCTGGCACCCATACCTAGGGTCCCCAGAGAGGAACCCAGGGGCTGACAGGGGATGCTGAGCAGTTGCCTGCAGCCCTCACTGGCAGGGAGGAGCAGATGCTGCCCGCGGACAGGGGGCTGCGACCTGGAAGGTGTGTGCACGCAGCCTTGCCGAGGGCTCCAGGTGAGACCACACTGGGACCTGCGGCAGTGCCCTGGAGCCTCGGGGCAGGCAGGGGCTGTGGAGTGACTGTGAGGGGCAAGAGGAGTGGCAGCTGTCCACACATCCAGCGCAGGATGTGAGTGCCCGCCAAAATTTCCCAACCAGGAAGCAAGCACACAAAGCTCACCGCAGGTCTTCCTCTCCCAGGGCACTCCTGGGCTGGAACCAGTGACCAGCACCTGCCGGGGCAGGACTGACCAGCCAGCAGTGCGAGCTCACCTCTTTGCTGCACCCAGAGGAGTGCTGGGACCTCCTGCCCTTGCCCAGGCTGCTTTTCCTTTGCTGGGGGTTGAGGGCTACCTCCACATCAGAGACACTCCCGGGCTGCACCCCAAAACCCTCTTCCTGCTCCAAGCTGGCTCTCCTGGGGGCCAGGGACTCCATCCTGATCCAGGCCCTGCCTCCTTCAGGCTGGTCTGAGTCCTAGAAACAGAGAGAGGATGAGGAAGCCCAGGCTGGCTCTGGGGCCTTCCTCTGCATCTATTTATTACCCCCTGCCCCACTGGCTCTGGGCAGCCAGGAGGGGCACATGCCCAGGGCACCCTATCTAGGGTGCTGCCCCACTCTTGTCACTCAGGCCCGCCAGCGGCAACAGACCCCACGGCCCTCCCACGGGTTCATCTCTCCCCACCAAGTCTTCTTTCATTTTCCACAGTTGAGAAAAGGCCCCATTTCCAGAAAGGGCATGGCCACTTGCCCCAGGAAGTGAGCTAACGGCAGAGCTCACTTCCTCCCGGCCGCTCTCCTGGCTGTGCTGTGGCTGACCCCACCGAAGCCACAACTGGCTGCCGGTCTCCCTGGGTGCATGAGACCCTCAACCCGGGCCGGCGGATCATGGCCCCTGCTGCCCTGCCCTCTGCCTGTCCACTCAGCCACACCCATCCACTCGGCCCCTTTTCTGCCCACCTAGGCAGGTGTCCCGTCCCTCGCCCTCAGAGCTCAGGGAAGCGAGGAGCAGGGCACATAGACACACAAGGCAGGTGACTGCAGTCCCAGCACTCCTGAGGACCACAGCCTGGCCTCCCACCTGCCCAGGGGCTGACTGGGAGCAGTCCTACCTGGAGGCAGGGCATGGGGCTGCCCAACAACAGAAGTGGGGACCGCGGAGGTCTGAGTGGCGCCCTCTCACCACATCTTGGGGCCTCCGACTACACAGAGATTAGGGTCGGGGGCCTGCCAGACCCCACCCCATCCACCTCTGCCCCCACTGACACCCGCATGGGGCATGCTGGCCCTGCTGCTCCCCCTCCTCCTCCTCCAGCACAGCAGGAGCCAATGCCTCAGCCTGGGCCTACGGTGGAGGGAGCCCCGAGACCAGGGAAGATGTGCCCCCCACCCTTCACCCACAAGCCAGCTGCACGCCTTCAGGGAGCCCTGGTGTACATTTATCATCTACACAAGCTCCCAGCATGGTGGGGGAGAACATTCTAGAGGTCGATGGAAAGAGGCAAGCAGGACCTGACAGGATGTGATGCCTGGAAACGCACAGGTGCCAGCAAGGGCCTCCAGGAGCGCACCTGCCCCAGGCACCTAGCAGGAACTTGGGGCTGCTGTGGGCGGGTCCAGCCCAACTCTGGCCAGCAGCCAGCAGGAGGTCGGCCTGACCAGCCCCCAGAGAGGGCAAAAGCAGAGCGGGAGCAGCACCCCTGCCAAACGCATGGACTTCCTGCAACCTTCGGGCTGCCGTTCACTGGGCAGGGAGTTCCCTCAGACCCAGGGGACCCTCTCCTACATACCCACCGGGCACACCAATAGAGAGGGGACCGACCCTGCTCCCCCAGCGTAGGCCAGCTAGGGCTCCCTTCCAGGGTCCCCTCTGAAACGTGCCTCAGAAAGCACTTTGCAACAAGCACAGGTGCACGCTGGTGAGGGCCCTGAGGTCTTGTCCTCACCCACCCCTGCACGCCCTCAGACGGGGCGCGGGCACAGCCTCCCTGTACCGCCCAACTGCGCGTCATCCCTCAGTCCCCGCACCCCACCCCCATCCCTGCAGGCACTCCGCATCGCACCGCACCGCCCATGCAGCCTCCCCCAGGAACCAGTCCCAAGACCATGCACACAGGCTCACACCCGCCACTTCCCTGCAGCCCAGGACAGGCTTCCCAAGCCCAAACCACAGCGACCCGCACCGCACGCGCCCGCGACCTTGCTTCCTCCCAGGCGGTCCCAGCCGGTATCCGGGGGTACCTGCTCTGAACCCTCCCCACCGCACTCACGCTGCAGCTTAAGCGGCTTCTCTGGCCCTACGGGGCCGCTGTATCTGGGGCGGAGCGTCCTTCCGCGCCACCAGTCCTCCTCGTCCTGGCTGCGCTTTGCGGTACTCGGTCAGGAGCTTGGGGCGAGCGGGTCCCTTACACCCCGTTACACCCCGCCCCGCGACGCCCGCCTGAGGGCGCAGCCAACCCCAGACACCCTCGGGAGGCGCTCACTCGGGTGGACTTCTCTGCGATTGGCAGCGAGCGCAGTGCCCCTCCAGGCGGTTGTGCGGTTACTTTTTAAAGTCCAGCCCAGAACACCCCAGAGCGGGGGAGGCGCATGAGTCCCAGGTGGACACGCACCCCCAGGGCCCCGCTAAAGTCCCATGGTGCCCACGTCAGGGGGCCCAAACCCAGGACCTTTCCAGCCAATGCTGGAGGTGGCATTCAGAGAAAGGGCAGCAATGCAGCAGCCCTGGGGGACCTGGGCAGCAGAGCCCTGCCTTCTCACGTCCCTTATCCCAGACCCCAAGATAATGACTCCAGCCACCATTGGTTCACCCCACCGTCCTGGCGCTCTCCCTACCCATTGCCAAACCCACGTGGCACCCCAGGGCCCCTGCTCCCCGTCCCCTGGAGCCATGATCACCCACCTGCCCCTGCCACCTGCCCACCTGCTGTCCACAACACACCCTTGACTCCACTTCCCCAACTTCCAGGCCTCTGCCAAGCCCATCACTGAACTTGCACCAGTGCAGCCCCAGCAGCCACACCAGGAACCCAAGCTACAGGGGCTCTGCCCACTGCAGGGTGGCACAGACCCCTGCCCGTTTCCTGGGGCAACCCAGAAACATCCTGTGAGTTCCAGCCATGCAAGTCAGGCTGTACAACCAACCGCCTGCTCCACCCTGGAGAGGTACCCGGGACCTCAATTAATGCCCCCGCAGCAGCGTCCCCAACCAGGACCCTTTTGTCAACTAACTGCTCGATATAGGGCAGGGCAGTTAGTATTTCATAACTTGGCAGTAACGGCTGAGCCTCCGGCTGGCAGTTTCCAGGTACCCAAGGCCTAGGTGGAAACTTATCAGTAAAGCCGTTGGTGAGCTGACACCTGCACCGACTCGTGGGGGCCGGGAGCACTGGGCTGGCTCCTGGCCTCCAAGCTGGGGACCGCAGGTTTCACAAGAAGGCCGCGTTCCATTGGCCAGATGCCAGCAGCTGCAGTGAGGCAACCATCCTTCCCATGCACGCGTGGCCAGGCCGGGGCCCAGCGCCTGCTGGCCTCTGACGGAGCTGTGCTCACCCAGACATCTCCCGCCACCGCTACGACTGCGGTCAATTACTGCTGTGGCATCTGAGACACCATCCCCCTTGGGAACGGGGGTCAGGGTGCCCAGTCACGGCTGTCCTCTGTCTGCCTGGGTACCTCCCATCTTCAGCCACACCTACAGAGACAGGCAAGCTCTTCAGCCTGCAGTCCAGTCACAGCCGCACGTGCCCTCTGGGGCGCCGCCATCTTCCAGGGCCGCCAGGCAGCACCAGCCCACACATGGCCAGGCTGATCGGCAGGGCCCCGTGGGGAATCTGAGATTCTCCGTGGCGCTCGGTGCCCGTTCTGAGCCTGGCTCCAATTCAGCTTGCCAGGGGCCGGCTCAGTCACCCCGGGCAGCGTCCAGCTCTCCCTGCTTTGCTCCCTTGGGGCGTTAACACAGCTCTCAGCCTCACGCCCCCACATGGCCCAGGCTGGCATGTGACAGTGTCAGGCCCCCGGGGCCCAGCAGCACTTCCCAGGAAGGCCTCGGGGTTGGTGCCCGTGGCTCTCAACACTGACCCCACTGTCCCCACCCTACACCTGCTCTTGGCAGAGCACCTTGCTGTCCCTGGCTGTCTCTTCAGCCCTCATGGGGTCCTCCTGGGGCCCTGGCATCATGGCATAGCAGGCTAAGCCTCCACTTGCAGGGTGCTGGCTCAAGTCCCCGCTGCTCCGCTTCTGATGCAGCTCCCCACTAGTAATGCTCCTGGGAGAGCAGTGGAGGACGGCCCAGTGCCTGGCCCTGCGCTCGTGTGGGAGACCCGGATGGAGCTCCTGGCTCCAGCCTGGCCCAGCCCCGGGTCGTGTGACCACCAGAGGAATGAACCAGCAAACTAAAGACACCCCTTCTCTCCATGACTCTTTAAAATAAACAGCATCTTTAAGGAAAAAAAAAAAAGGCTCAGCATGGTAGCAAAGCAGTCAAAGTCCTCACCTTGAACACGCCAGGATCCTATCTGGGCACCAGTTCTCTAATCCCGCGGCCGCACTTCCCATGCAGCTCCCTGCTTGCAGCCTGGGAAAGCAGTCGAGCATGGACCAAAGCATCGGGACCCTGCTCCCACAATGGAGACCGGGAAGAGGCTTCTGGCTCCTGGCTTCAGATTGGCGCATCTCCAGCCATTGCAACCACTTGGGGAGTGAACCAGTGGATGGAAGATTTTCCTCTCTGTCTCTCCTTTCTATATCTGACTTTCCAGTAAAACAAAATAAATCTTTAAAAAAAAAAGTCATGTCTGTCACTCTGTCCTCCTGCATGTCTCACTGACCGCACCCCAGAAGCTCCTCCCGTCCTGGACACTGTGTGTGGGGTCCCCAGGGAGGTGGTCCCAGGTCCCCGCCTCCTGGCAGCTTGCAGCTTGCCGTGGCCTGGAGCTCTCACTGTTGCTGGGTCACCCTGTGGCTGAGCTTGGCTCACAGTGTGGCTGGCCACGTCATCTGGTGTCCCGTGGCAGGGTCCCTTCCTCGGCAGCGCGGCCCCTCCTTCAGATAAAGTCTCTAATGTGGTTTCCAGAACCCCAAAGACTTCCAGCCCCCCTCCCCTGATCTGTGGGGTCGGCAGGTGGTCCAGCCCTGGCAGCCAGGCCATGTGCACCTTAGCAGTGCCCCAGGTCAGCATGAGGACCCGGGCTTTGCACTCACATTGGTCAGTCACAGATGGGGGCGGCCCTTGGGGGGCTGGGATGGGGGTCCTCAGAGCCAAATGCTGGGCAGGCGCTTTCCTCAGCACAGTGGCAACTGAGGCCCTGCCTGCAGAGAGGGTCCCCAGGAGGAGTTCAGGGACTCCCACAGAAACATTCAGAAGGCTCCAAGAGACTCCAAGATGGACCTGGGTCTGCCTCCCACAGCACCCCAGGGCTCCGAGATGCGTCAGCTGGGAGCATAAAGATAGCAGGCGCTCTGAGGTGCGCTGGGGGCCAGCAAAGGGTCTGGAGGAGGGCAAGGTCGAGGGGCCCAGGTGCCTGGAGCCACAGCGGCCCTGGGTCACCCCGGCCGTCATTCCTGCCCTCCTGGCTGCTCCGGCAGTGCCGGGGAGGTGAGCCCTGAGGAAGGGTCCTAACCTTCCCAGCGAAGGGAAACTCCACCAGGAGAAGGAAATTTGCCCGCCGCAGCCCGCAGTGTCACTTCCCCATCTGAGGGTACTCGGGGTCATCCTGTTCTGGGGTCAACTCAGAAACACAGGGTTGGGGGGCGCACGACCCAGCCTGGGGGGGACGGGTGTCCTGGGTGCGGATGCAGGCCTGGGGAGGTGGGGCCCCTGGGGAGCCCTTCAGGGGTGCAGAAGGCTGAGACCACAAGCAAGGGGGTGGGCAGCCCAGCCTAACAGGCTCCTGGGGCGCTGTACCCCACAAGGAGGAAGCGCGCTCCCCGCCGGGATCACGAGAATCAGGCTCTCCGCTCGGGCTGTGGGAAACAAGGAGCGAGGACGACTGGGGCGAGCCCTCCTCACCAGCCACTTCCCCAAAACACCCCCTTAGCGTCGCTCTGCGGGAACCCCCTTTCCAACACGTGAAGTGTGGGAGGCGTTTCCTACTGAGCGGCAGAAGCAGGTGCACAGAGGGGCTGGCCTGGAGCCTGGGGGGCTCCCGGTCCGTGGGGTCGGGGCGGAGGAGGTCCCGCAGCGGCCACCCCAGATTCTGGACCTGACGGAACCCCTCTCTGCCTCGGGAGGCCCAGCCCGCCCGGCCTCCGTAATCCCGGGCTGCGGCTCTCCTCAAACCGAAGCTCCCGGTGCCGCGGCCGGAGCCTCAGCTCCCCTCAGGGCACCGCGGAGGCGCCGGCAGGAGGGAGGCGACGCAGCGGGAGTTCCAGCCCTTCTAAGCGGCAGCGAGGCCCACACGGCCCGTCCCCGCCCGCAGCCGCCGCCAGCCCCGCGTCACGTCAGAGCGCGCCATTCGCGAACGCCACCGCGGGGCATGCGCAGGACGGCGCGGGCGGGCGGCGCCGTGCGGAGTGGGCGGGGATAGCACGGGAGCCACGCGCTCATTGGACGTCCCGCCTCGCCCAGCCGCCGACAACGCGCTGGCCCCGCCCCTGACGACGCGGGCCCCGCCCCTGGAGACGCCCGCGCGGCCGGCCACGGCCAGGCCCGCCGGGGCCCAGGTGCCCGCGGCTGCCATGAAGCTGACTCGGAAGATGGTCCTGTCCCGGGCCAAGGCTTCCGAGCTGCACCACGTGCGGAAGCTCAACTGCTGGTGAGGCCAGCCGCGGGGGCCGTCCGTGCTGGACACAGGGTTGGGGGGCGCAGGACCCAGCCTTGACCGCAGGGCTCCGGGCAGGCGGGAGGTGCGGGGCCGGGGCCTGTGATGGCTGCGGGGCGTCGGCCGGGTGCAGGGCGGCCCGAGCCAGGACGTGGCAGGACGCGGGCAGCGGGGCTGTGGTGGAAGCTGGAGCGGGGGCCCTGGGGACCCCTCGAGGTCACCGCCCCAGCCCGTGGTGCTCAGGCCGCAGGGTGCGAGCTGCGGTCGCAAACGCTCTTCTCGCCTGGCGCGTCTCCGTGGCCATCGGCTGTCCACAGTGTGTTGGCAGGGGCGGTCAGTGATGCCCAGAGCCGGGACCACAGCAGCCCTGTTGGGGCTCTCGCATCTGCGTCACGGGCTGGCAGTCTGGCCATGGTGGCCCCGGTCCGCCTGGTCTCTGCTGCCTGCAGCTGCGAGGTGTCCCCAGCCTTCCAGGACAGGCCCACGGCCTGTGACCCCGCTTGCTACTGTGCGGTTAAAGCCGTCGCGTGGGTGTCCCTCAGGGTTTGTCCACTCGACCGCTAAAATAGAATATGACACCAGTGACAGCACAACAGGCTCTAGCTCCAATGAGCTGCAAGGCGAGCGGCTGACCAGGACCAGGCCCCTTACTGGAGTGCGGCCCCATCAGCACATTTGCAGGGCCAGTTGACACTGGCTGGCATAGTGTGGCAAGAGCAGAGGCGCTGTGCGTCCCCTGCCTGTCTCGGCTGGGCAGCCTGTGCCTGTCTCCCCTCCGGTCCGGCAGTCCAGGTAACCATGCTCAGGCCTGGGCACCATCTGTGAGATCACCGGACTCGGACCTGAATTCTGGGAACCGTTCGTGCTGCAGGTCACGCAGGAGGCTCGGCCTGTGGAACTCGCATACGGTTCCACAGCCGAGCAAGCAAAGCAGCAGTTACAGGAGCCAGAGGTATTGCAGTTAGCAATGAGCCACGTTTACAGTCGGCATGGCTGACGCGGTGTGCTCTCTCCCCAGGGGCAGCCGCCTCACCGACGTGAGTATCATGGTCCCCGCCGCCAGGCGCCCCAGCCCCCCGGGTCATGGCCTCGTCCCCAGAGCGACAGAGCTTTGCTCATCCCTGTGACCCAGCAGTCCTGCACAAGCACCAGTGACTCACCGACCGCCCACACCCAGCGACTGCTGGTCCTGCAGAACCAGGGAGAGGGCCGGGGACCCTACGGCTCCTCCCCTGTCAGATGTGGGCAGAGCCCAGGCCAGGGGCCCAGGCTGCCCTGCTGCTGCCTCCCCTTGGTGCAGCCACGGACCCCTGATGTCTGCAGCTGGTGGCAGCTCTGCCGGGACGGTCCACACCCCGGGTCACTCTGCAGCTGCCCGTGGCCCCCATGCCAGCTCACGCTCTGGGGGTCTGCTCTTTTCCTACTAGATTTCCATATGCCGGGAGATGCCCAGCCTGGAGGTGGTCACGCTCAGGTAGGGCCTCCGGCTCCTGGCCGCACCTGTGGGCCCTGGGATCAGGTGGGAGCCGGAAGCTGCTCTTGGGAGACAAACCGTGGAGCCCAGAGGCCGGCTGCTCCATCAGCCCCTGCCCTTATGTTTGATTCATTTATATATCCTTCTGGAAGGCAGAGTGACAGAGAGAGGGGGAGTCCACCCACTGTGTCACCCCCAGGTTGCCAGAGAAGCCAGGGCTGGGCCCGGCAGACACCAGGAGTTCCATCCAGGTCTCCCCTGGGGGCTTCAGGGGCCCAAGGACTTGGTCCATCAGCTGCTGCATTCCAGGTGCATCAGCAGGGGTCTGGGGCAGAAGCACGGCAGCCAGGTCGTTCCGCAGTACTTGCAGTGGGCACTGCGGGAGGCTCAGTCCGTCGCACCACGGCACCTCCCCGCAGCTGCTGGCCACGGCAGGCTTGGCAGTGTCCCCAGGGGGGTGTCTCTTCTGTGAGCTAGCAGGCCCACCTCCCACAGCGGCCATCCAGGGGGCCTGGCCAGCTGTCGCCACCGTGACCAGCGGTGACTGCATGTCCAGGTGAAGCAGTTTCTTGTTTGCTGGATTCTCATCTGACGCTGTGTGGCCTGCAGGTGGCACGGGTGGGAGTGTGGGAGGGACTCACGCCCCTTGGCCAGCGAGCCACCTGTCCGCACGCAGCGTCAACAGCGTCTCGACCCTGGAGCCGGTGAGCCGCTGCCAGCGCCTGAGCGAGCTGTACCTCCGTCGGAACCTCATCCCCAGCCTGAGCGAGCTCTTCCACCTGAAGCACCTGCCACTGCTCCGGGTGCTCTGGCTGGCCGAGAACCCGTGCTGCGGCGCTGACCCCCACCTCTACCGCATGACTGTGCTGCGCAACCTGCCCGGCCTGCAGCGGCTGGACAACCAGGGTGGGCCCTGCAGCCCCGCGCCCCTCCTCCCACCCCTCCTGCCTGTGGCCACGCTGACACTGTCCCCCCCCCAGCTGTGACCGAGGAGGAGCTGTCCCGCGCACTAATGGAGGGCGATGAGATCACCTCTGCCCCAAGCAGAGAGCATGCGGACAGTAGCTGCCCCGCTCCGTCCTGCACGCTGAGCCCCAACAGCTCGGCCGGCTCCACCGCCGACACAGAAGCCAGCAACGACCTGCTGGGCTGCAGTGAGGCCAGGTGAGTCCCAGCCCAGGACGAGGCTAACACCTCTCCTGGGCATCCAGGTTTGGGGCTTACACCTCTCCTGGGCTTTGGGGGGCGGGGTGAGGGTGGCTGGGGGCACCTGGCTGAGTCCTGCAGTTAAGCTGTATTTCGGGGTCTCATGTGGGCAGCGAGGGGCAGGTGCGGGCCCTGTGTGTGGGCAGTGAGGGGCAGGTGCAGGGCCTGTGTGGGCAGTGAGGGGCAGGTGCTGGGCCTGTGGGCAGTGAGGGGCAGGTGCAGGGCCTGTGGGCAGTGAGGGGCAGGTGCAGGGCCTGTGGGCAGTGAGGGGCAGGTACAGGGCACCTCTTACGTTCCTGTTTGCTCTGGTGTCCCCGCCAGGGACCCTTGCTAGGGAGCAGGAAGGAGGACAAAGCTGGCTCCATGTGAGGTCAGGGGTGCTTGGGCTGCTTGCATGTGGCTCAGCTCTGAGTGCCAGGCACTGTCAGCGATGAGGCTGTGGCCAGCCTGCTGGCACCTACTGTGGGCAGCACCTCAAGGTCAGGAGCTCTGGAAGCCAAAGGGGAGTTGCCCGAGGGGATGAGCAGAAAAGACTTGGGGTACACGTGGGCTTGCAAGGCTGCCCTGCATGGAGCCTGCCGTGTTCCAAGCGGGGTGACTGGACTCCAGCCAGGACCCGGGTCCCGCACTCCTCATTGTCTCCCTGTGCAGCAGCCTGCAAGGTCGGCTCACACCGAAGCCCCCACCTTTCTCCCAGAGGGACACTGCTGGCAGCCACACCAACAGGGTGAGTGGCCGAGGCCTGAGGGTGGCACTGCTCTGTATGCGTGCCCGCTGGGAGCGCTGGCAGCAGCCCCACAGGCGAGGGTGGGCAAGTCACTGGGGCCATCCCCGCGGCCACCACAGCCCCAGAGGTGACCCGGAACCTAAGGGAACAGCTCAGGAAGGAAGTACGAGTGTGAGCTAAGGGAAACCCCCTTACCACCCCGGGTCAGAAGCATCTAGAACCTGTCAGGGAGGTCGCCGTGACGGCCCGTCCAGTGGAGGGGGGCTAGCTGTTGTTGGGGACGCCTACTGGCTGGCCAGGTGGCTGGACACCACTGGACACACTCAGTGACCCAGGAAGCCGAGTGGTTGGTACTGGCCGGCACCTCCTTAGGCCCCACCCACTGCCCAGGGCATGGCAGGTGCCCACGGGGTTGGCCACGGGATCTCCCCAGGTGTGTCCTCTCAACAGATCCCAGTGGGCAGGCCAGGGGCCAGAGCCAGCCTTAGCAGTGGCCTTAGCAACCCGAGGACCATGACCCCCTGCCAAGCTGGCTCACCCATCAGAGCCGAGCCTTGGGTGCTGGGTCCAGGGCACAGGTGGGTCCGGCCAACAAGCCCCTTGCTCGGGCCCCCTCAGTCCTCACTCCCGCAGATCATGGGAGGAGCCAGGTGTGACCAAAGGCCGTCCTGTAGACTTAGGAGCCAAAGTGTTGGGCTCACCCTCTGAGGACACGGGTGACCCGTGGAAGACCCGTGTGACCAGCCTGAGAGTGGAGGAAAGGCAGGGGAGGACACAGGATCCGGGCTCAACCCCACGCTTCCGTCTTCCATCTGCACCTGTGATCCTGCACCCCAGGGCACCCACAGTCCCCACCCCGAAGGGCCAGCCAAGAGAGCCATGGCACGGTCGGGATGCCCCAAGTAGTGCTGAGCCTCGGCTCTGCCCACAGAACGTGCTGACGGCCGTCCTGCTGCTGCTGCAAGAGCTGGACGCCACAGGGCTGGAGGCCGTGCAGCAGACCGTGAGCAGCCGGCTCCAGGCCCTGCGCAGGCAGGAGCCCCAGGAGGATGCCCAGTGACTGGCAGGCGAGCCTCGGGCCTTGCCCTTCTCCCTGGCACTGCAGCTGAATGCCAAGTGACTAGCAGGCCACACGCAGGCTGTCTGCGTGGACCCCAGCCCCTGCCCCTGGAGAGCATCCTGTGCAGCTGCTGCCTGGGAAAGGGCACCCCTGGGCCCTCGCAGCAACAGCTTCATGCTGGCCATCCCTAATAAAGTATTTTTCCAAGTCCAGAGTGGCCTTCCCCCCTTGCTGACAGCCACAGTTCAGGTGCTGGCCACGGGAGGGCCACACTCCCGGCCGCCTGGCCCTCCACCCTGTCCCTGGGGAGGCTGTGTTGAGGGCGGAGCCTTGGGGACCTGCCATTGCACATCTCCGGGGAAGGGGCAGGACACCTTGCATTGTTCTTCCCCTTCTCCCAAGATCTCAGGCCACCCATGGCAGGGACTCTGCTGGACAGGCCCCCCGCCCTGCCAGGGAAGTAGGCAAGGCAGTGGAGTGTTGGCCAGGGCGCCCCAGCAAGGGAGGTGCTGCCCCAGGGGCCTCTGCTACTACTGCTGTAGGGGAAGCAGCCGAGATCCAGGCGGCCCTGCCCCTGCTTGAGACTAGGACCCCGTTCCTGCAGCACCTACTTGCTCACAACGGGCTCACACCAGGTATATGTGACGGCCACACAAGGCCATGCAGGGGGTGTGGTGGGCAGGTGGCTGCAGGCCAGTGGCCATCTGTCGATTCCACCAAGGTGCCCTGTGAGTCCTCCCCTCCCCCACCTGCCCTGGCCTGGAACCAGGGAGCCTTCCCATGTCCACAGGGGGTACTCACTGCTAGAGGCTTGCACATGTGACCCCAGGACCCCCGACCAGAGCACCCAGCAGCCTGGGCGTGTGGATCTGGCAGAACCCTCCACCTGGGTAACACACAGGCTGGCAGTCCAGGCTGTCACTCCCTGCCGCCTGCCATGTGTGGGTGGGGTGGCTCAGGCTGGACTCGGCTGCAGCCTGTCCTGCCATCACGGTCTCAGCCTAGGCCAGTCTCTCCTGTGGCCCAGTGCTCAGGCCATCTCAGGCCCTCCGGGGACACTAGCCCCACCCATCCCGCCAGAAGCTGGCGCAAAGCGGCCTTTCAGGTGCCTCTCCATGTGCCCCATACCCAGAAAACTCACAGGACCAAACTGTCTCCAGGCATGACGGACAGCAGTCACTGCAGACCGCACCCCAGCATCCTGCCCAGGAGGGGACGGGCAGACTGTCCTTCAGGCTAGCCGGGGCCATGCCCTCTTCATCCACTTCCCACCAGGCAGCCCCCACTGGCCACATCCTGCTAGACAGGTGGGAAATATGGAGACCCAGTGTGAGCGAGGGCTCTGGTCAGGGACCCAGCCCTGCAGCTCCACAGCTGGAGGTGGTCCCAGCAGCAACACCTGAGGCCAGTGGGGTCTCCCCAAGAGGACATATGCACACGTGTACACGGGGACAGATACCCATAACACACATGTGTACACGCGTACACACATGCCTGATCCTCCAGGCCTGTGACCCAGCCTGTCAGGACTCAGGCCCAGCCCCACCCAAGCTCCTAGCAGCCTAGAAGCCTCAGGCCCTAGGACCAGCATGGCAGAACTGGCACAAGCCCTGGTGCAGGGCCAGCCCAGGCCATGAAGTCCCAGCACCTCCAGGCCCTCCCCGAAGAACGGTCCAGGTGCTGGTGCAGTCGGGTATGGTCAAGGCCCTGTGTCCCCACTGGACCCCTGTCCCCTGGGATGCTAGGCCCTGGACAGATACACCCCTGGCCTCACTGCCCACCCTGCCCCCTGAGCTAGCTCACACCAGACACCTGCTGCGAGTCCCATCCCAACCCAGACTGTCAGGGCGGCCACTCGGGCAGGTGTGAGGGTCCTGGAACCTGGCTCAGACCTAGGGGGAGCCACAGCCATTTGGGCCCCAGGGCTCATCCTAGGCCCACCCTATCCCGTCCCCTCCTCAGAGGACACAGGACTCTGGTGAGGTGGTTTATTTCTAGAAAAGGTGACGGCTTGCGGGGAGCACAGGGGCAGGGTGGACGCCAGGGGTCACCAGAGTGGGTGCGGCCCAGGCGGGTGGCCCCCCGCTCAGAAGCCCGTGTCGATGCTGAGGCTGCGGCGTGTCACGTGCTCGAGCTCTCCAGACACGTAGTCAGCCATGCTGATGCGGTAATGCGCCAACATCTTCAACATCAGCCGCAGGTTCAGCCACCACTGCTCCCGCGGCATGCGGTGCCTGGGGGTCGGGGTCAGCCCTCAGTGACCCAGCTCAGCGGTGGAGTGGACCCCTCCTGCCCGCTGCCACGTGTCTGGGGACCCCCTGGTGTGACCCAGCTCTGCTCTGTCCCCAAACCCCCGCCCCGCTCACTCACTCGAAGTCTGTGTCCTTCTTGAGCTCGGTGACCGGGCTGAAGGCCACCACCTTCTTGCGCAGGCCGATCACACAGGCCGAGTCGGGTGCGTTGGCAAAGACCCGGCCTGCAGACAGAGGCACGTGTTGTCTCCAGCAGCAGCCCACCAGCCCAGCCCCCACCCGGGTCCACAGGCCGCTGGGCCCCTGGCCACCGACCCTTGCGGTACACGGCCCGCAGCATCTCCGACACCCACAGCATCGCCTTCACGCCCAACTTCGTGCCATAGTTGCGGTCAAAGGGTGTAGGTGCCCCACCCTGAAGACAGAACGAGGCCAGATCTGAGCGTCCAGCAAGCCTGGACACCCCAGTCCTGCGGCCTCGTGTCAGCCATACACCCTCCTCCAAGCCCGGCCAGGGACCACCCTGTGACTGGGCTCAGCACACAGCCACCCACCGGGAACTCCCACAGCCTCCTATGCTGTGAGCACTGCATGAGGCAGGGTGGGGCGTGAGGACCCAGATCCAGACAGGGAAAGGCCAGGAGAAGGGTGCCAGAGGGGAACAGGCAGTGGAACAGCTCAGCTCGGGTCTGAGTAGAGGCGGGGAGGGGGGGTGACCTGACCACGGCAAGTGGCAGGTGCAGTGGGAGGGGCCAATACAGGACCCGCCCCACCACACAGCCCCGCCCACCCGCACCTGCTGCAGGTGGCCCAGGACGTTGGTCCTACAGTCAAAGACACCCTTGCCCTCCGAGGAGTACAGATTGTAGAGGAACTCCGTGGTATAGTAGTCATGGCACTTCTCATTCCTGCGGGAGCAGTGGGACCTGAAGAAGGGCGCCAACCCAGCCCGAGCCCCAGAGACGGGGGGCCTGAAGGCCAACCCAGCCCAAGCCCCAGAGACGGGGGCCTGAAGGCCAACCCAGCCCGAGCCCCAGAGACGGGGGCCTGAAGGCCAACCCAGCCCAAGCCCCAGAGACGGGGGCCTGAAGGCCAACCCAGCCCGAGCCCGACACAGGGCCTGTCCATGGTCCTGCCCAGACCCTCAGATTCCCCCGCACCGCCCTCACCGGAGAACCAGGCCCCTCTGGATGTCCGTCTTCATCTTCTCTGTCATGTGTTCCACGTTGGCCTGGGGGAGAGGACACTGAGCAGGGGAGCAGGGAGAGGGGCCCCGGGGAGACCCAGGGGTGCAGGGAGAGGGGCCCCGGGGAGACCCAGGGGAGCAGGGAGAGGGGCACCGGGGAGACCCAGGGGTGCAGGGAGAGGGGCACCGGGGAGACCCAGGGGAGCAGGGAGAGGGGCACCGGGGAGACCCAGGGGAGCAGGGAGAGGGGCACCGGGGAGACCCAGGGGAGCAGGGAGAGGGGCACCGGGGAGACCCAGGGGAGCAGGGAGAGGGGCACCGGGGAGACCCAGGGGAGCAGGGAGAGGGGCACCGGGGAGACCCAGGGGAGCAGGGAGAGGGGTGCAGGGTGAGCGAGGGGTGCAGGCAGGGCTGTGCCCGCAGGACCCGTGGAGGGGTGGAGGTCCCTGCCAGCCGGGGTGCTGTCGGCCCACCTTTAAGTCGTGAATGTTGAAAGGGTCTTCGAAGACATAGGCAGCATCGGCGCCCACGGCGATGCCCGTCACAGTGGCCAGGTAGCCGCAGTAGCCGCCCATGGTCTCCACGATGAACACTCGGCGCTTGGTGCCCGAGGCCGACTGCTTGATGCGGTCACAGCTCTGCAAGCAGCGGCTGGTTAGGGCTCCGTGTCCCCACCCTGCCCAGGGACAGGGCACGGGGACAGGGCGGGACTGGGGCTGGGCTCAGGACCAAGGTGGCCTGAAGGCACCGCCTGAGGCCCCCAGCCCCTAGGACAGCAGCCCGAGGACATGTGGATTGTCACAGGCCAGGGACACTGCTGACAGTCCCTCTCCAGGACTGGTCAGGCACATGTCAGGTGCTAGGGACAGCAGGACGAAGGACAGCCGAAATGGCAGTCGTGACGGGGGCTGTGTGACTAATTCCAGCCAAGAGCGGCTCAGAGTTTGGGAAAGAAATGGCAGGTGATGGAAAGCTGAGCCCTGGGCCAGGAGGCACGCCCCACACGCAGCTGGGCAGAGGGGAGGGAAATGTGCCTGTGCGCTCCACGAGCCAGGAGCGCCAAGCCACAGGGCAGTGGTGTCTGCAATGCCAGCAGGATCACAGCGCAGGCAAGCCCAGATGAAACGGGCCCGGCCCCAGGGGCAGGCACAGCCAGATCTGCCCAGGTGCCCTAGCGGCCCCGCTGTGCGCCCCACACACCTCCATGGCTGCGTTCACGGCGGTGTCCGAGCCCAGGCTGAAGTCCGTGCCGGGCACGTTGTTGCTGATGGTGGCGGGGACCACACACATGACGATGCACAGCTCCTCGTAGCGACCCCGGGCCTCCACTAGCTGCAGCACGCCCTCATAGGCCTGTGGGATGCCGGGGTCAGCTTCGCCCCACAGGCACTGCTCCCCACCTGCCCCAAACCCTCCCATGCTCCCCAGGCAAGGTCCCTCCTTTGGAGCCCTCAGGCCACACCAGCCCGTCCACCGGCTGCAGCCTACAAAGTGGGGGAACTCAGAAACTGCCCTGAACAACCCCCACCTCCTGGGCTCACAGCGCTCCCCCTGGCGAGGCCCCCTAGGAGAGGGCCAACACCCCGCAAGCCCAGCCCAGGGCAGCTCGGAGCGCTGACCCCCGCAGGCCCAGGCAGCCCCTGACCTCGAACCCGCCGATGACCAGCAGAGCATGGATGTTGTAGGCGCGGATGTTGTCCACAATGGGCTCCAGGTGGGCCTTGGGCAGAGTCCTGCCAGACGGACACGGCATGGGTGGGTGGTGGCCACAACACACCTCACACCACTGCTGCCCTGACCACACCCAGGCCACCAGCAGCCACCAGCACCCCCGTGTGGCCAAGTGGCCTCGTGACTACACCGGTCCCAATTCCAGTCCTTCTGCAGCTTCCACTGGTAATGCAGGAGGGGACTCTGCAGCCTCCCTGCAGGTCACCTGGATGGCCACGACCCCCATGCCCACCAGGCCCTGCTATGGAAATGCTAGACAGGAGAAATCCCCATGGTGTCGGATGACAATGGAATCCCATATGGGTGCCAGTTCAAATACCAGCTGCCCCACTTCCCATCCAGCTCCCTGCTTGTGGCCTGAGAAAGCAGTGGAGGAAGGTCCCAGTGCTTGGGCCCCTGCACCCGCATGGGAGACCGGGAAGGAGCTGCTGGCTCCTGCCGTGGCCTGGCCCATCACTGGCCACTGTGGTTAGCTGGGGGGTGATCCAGCGGATGGAAGCACTCACCTGCTCTGACTTTCAAATAAACGTGCAAATGTTTCAAAAAGAAAAGGTGGTATAGGCCCAGCACAGCGGCACAGGCCCAAGCCTGGCAGAGCCGCCTTCCCCTACACAGGGGACCACATGTGACCCACAGGAGCTCGTGACTATGGGGCCCCAGGCGGGAGGGTCTGAAGCTGCTCCAGTGAAGCTGCCAGCCGGAAGCGGGGAGTGGCCCAGGGCTCATCCCTTTGTGGGAACACCCCACCCCACCAGGCCCTGACCCCCACTTCATCACCCAGGGCCCATGGCTCACCTCTTGGTCCCCAGCATGGAGCCACCGCGGCCCAGCCAGCCAGCCACATCGTGCCAGCTCACCTCTTGCACCTGTTGGGAGACAGCCGTGGTTCAGAGGCACAGCCAGGCACCTTACCCCTCCCCAGGAGGAGACAGCTGGGCTGACCGCTGTGCCCACAGACCCCCGCTCTGCAGCCTTAGCCATGGGCAAGGACACCATGTCCAATGTGGCCTCGCCCACCCACCGGCTACATGGACACTGCCCCTTAGTCTCCGCCCCAGGCTGCTGACCCGTCTCTAGCTGGCCTAAGCCTGAGACCCTCGCGTGCTCAGGAACAGCCGAGGGGCCGGTAACACACAAGGCGGCCAGCAAGACCCCAGCCCCGCGTGTCCCCGGCCCCGCTGCACCCACCTGCCCCTTGGCCAGGCCCTCGAAGCCGTCGTGCACCACATACACCGTGTGGCCCTGGGAGATGGCGGTGCGCACCGCCGAGCGCACGGCCGCGTTCATGCCGGCTGCCGGGGCCCCCACATTCAGGATGGCCAGCGAGAAGTTGGTCTGCAGAGGAGACAGGGCCATGAGACAAGGGGCCACAGCCAGAGCCTCCCAACCCACCCCTCTGGGGCCCAGCCAGGGGCTCACAGCCCAGAGCCCGGGCAGGGGCGAGGCAGAGCCCGGGCAGGGGCGAGGCAGAGCCCCACAGCCCAGAGCCCAGGCAGGGGCGAGGCAGAGCCCAGGCAGGGGCGAGGCAGAGCCCGGGCAGGGGTGAGGCAGAGCCCCACAGCCCAGAGCCTGGGCAGGGGTGAGGCAGAGCCCAAGCAGGGATGAGGCAGAGCCCCACAGCCCAGAGCCCGGGCAGGGGTGAGGCAGAGCCCAAGCAGGGATGAGGCAGAGCCCGGGCAGGGGTGAGGCAAGGCCCTCACCTTCTCTTTGGACAGTTTCTGGTGGGCCAGCAGTTTGTAGATGTTCCAGTTATTCTCAAAGCTCCTGGAAGGAAACCAGTCAGACAGGGCCTGGGGACACGGGGCTCACGGGCCTGAATTTGGCCAGGAGGGAGCCAGGCAGCGGGCAGGCCAGCTGCCCACTTCACTGCGCAGCCGTGAGGCCCCAGCCCCTAACACAAGCTCACCGCATGGCACACGACAGCAGGCGGGTGGCACCCGGGTTTGCAGCCTCGGCCACGGGCAAGACCACCACGTCCAGCGTGGCCTCACTGACCCACCTGACGCCTGCAGGACACAATCCCCGAGACCAGAGACCAAAACCCAAACTCCTCCCAGCTAGCACCACAGTCCCCGTGGGCCCTGCCTACCCCACTGTGCCTGCCAGGCGGTGCCACCCCCTCTCCTGCCTGCCTAGTGCCGCTGCTCCCACCCAGGCCGAGAGCTGCACACAGCCAGCCTCACCTGCCGCGCAGCTGGATGGCCTCGTCGAACCGCCTCTCGTCCATGGCCTTCTGCACCTCTTTGGTCTGGCAGGAAAGAAGCCAGAAGCACAGGCTGGGGGAGGCCCAGCAGGCCACCGGCCACGGCCTCGCTGGGCAGCCCTGGCAGCTCAGCCCACAGACCCTGCTGCCCACACCGAGCCTCCAGCCTCTCGTGGGCTCCCAAGGCCAGCCCCGGCAGGAACACAGCCCTGAGCCCCAGACCCCCAGGAACCCAGTGGGGCGATGCACTGCCCACCCGGAGCCCTGCCCAGTGACCAACTTGGTACACCTGCTCTGTCCCCACCCTCTGTCCCCACACAGGCCTGCAGAGATGTGACCTTAGCTCCTTACCCCCACAGGGTGCCACCTTGGAGTTGCCTTACACACAGGGACCCTCCCCCAGGTGTGTCCACACTGAGCCCCCAGCACTGTGAGACCCCTCTCCCAGGTGCGTTCACGCCAAGCCCCCAGCCCAGCACTCACCACTTGCACACACTCCATGAGTGGCAGCCGCACAGACTGGTTCCCCGACAGGCTGACCACGCAGGCTGGCGTGTCGGGCGTGGCCTCCAGCAGTGCCATCACCGCCTCCATGCCCATCTTGCTGCTCTGGGGGAGGAGGGGTCAGCATGCCCACCTGAGCCTTCCAGGGCACTCTGTCACACACATCAGGGGCCTGGCAGGCTGGGGTCATGACCCCCGACCGGCTCCATGGTGGGTGCAGGGGAGACCACCCTCGGGGGCTCCTGGGAGGCACATGCAGCAGCCCCCCAAAACAGGACTGGCCAGCCCCTGCACCCATGTCCCGGGAAAGTCCTCACGGGAGCTCCACATGGGGCAACCTGGCTCAGACCTGGATGCTTGGCCCCAGCATCACCACTGGTGGGACCCAATGAGACACGGCTACACTCAGGCCGCCAACACAAACCTGCACAGGGACCCACCAGAGCCAGGGGTGCCCACCTGAGGGAGCCCCAGGACCCTGCACTCCTCCCCCAGAAGCCAGCCAGGGCCAGGAGGGTCAGTGCCATAAGAGCCCACATTCAAGGTGAGGGTGGGACGGCAGCCAGAGGGCAGGTTCCCACTTGAGGCAACACAGGCACCGCACACACCTGCACACACAGCCGGCCACCAACACACCTGCACACACAGCCGGCCACCAACACACCTGCACACACAGCAGGCACCGCACACCTGCACACACCTGCACACACAGCCGGCACCAACACACCTGCACACACAGCCAGCACCGCACACCTGCACACACAGCCAGCACCGCACACCTGCACACACAGACACTGCAGTCATGGCACATTAACTGCACACATCACACTTAGATCACGCACCCCTGCACAACAGGCCCGAGTGCCCCGACCTACCAGGACACGGTCGAAGGCAGACGGGGTCCCTCCTCGCTGCACATGGCCCAGCACGGTGACCCGCGTGTCGAAGCCCAGCCTCTGCACCACCAGCTGCCGGGGAAAGTGCGGGTGTCCAGGGCAGTTCACACACACCGCTCCGCACAGCGTGGACGCCTGCCCCTGCAGCCAGGCAGCCCCACGCAACTCGGGGTGCAGGGACAGCCCCGCCAGCGTCCCCACAGCACAGCAGGGTCGGAGTGTGAGGGTGTGTGCACACAGTGGGTGCTGTGAGGGTGTGAGGATGTGGTGTGTGCACACAGTGGGTGCTGTGAGGGTGTGAGGATGTGGTTGTGCACAGTGGGTGCTGTGAGGGATGTGTGGGATGTGTTTGTGCACAGTGGGGGCTGTGGGCTGTGAGGATGTGGTGTGTGCACACAGTGGGGGCTGTGAGGGATGTGGTGTGTGCACACAGTAGGTGCTGTGAGGGTGTGAGGATATGGTTGTGCACACAGTGGGTGCTGTGAGGGTGTGTGGGATGTGGTGTGTGCACACAGTGGGTGCTGTGAGGGTTTGTGGGATGTGGTGTGTGCACACAGTAGGTGCTGTAAGGGTGTGAGGATATGGTTGTGCACACACTGGGTGCTGTGAGGGTGTGTGGGATGTGGTGTGTGCACACAGTAGGTGCTGTGAGGGATGTGTAGATGTGTTTGTGCACACAGTAGGTGCTGTGAGGGTGTGAGGATGTGGTGTGTGCACACAGTGGGTGCTGTGAGGATGTGGTATGTGCACACACTGGGTGCTGTGAGGATGTGGTGTGTGCACACAGTGGGTGCTGTGAGGGTATGTGGGATGTGGTGTGTGCACACAGTGGGGCTGTGAGGGATGTGGTGTGTGCACACAGTAGGTGCTGTGAGGGTGTGAGGATATGGTTGTGCACACAGTGGGTGCTGTGAGGGTGTGTGGGATGTGGTGTGTGCACACAGTGGGTGCTGTGAGGGTGTGAGGATGTGGTGTGTGCACACGCTGGGTGCTGTGAGGGTGTGTGGGATGTGGTGTGTGCACACAGTAGGTGCTGTGAGGGATGTGTAGATGTGTTTGTGCACACAGTAGGTGCTGTGAGGGTGTGTGGGATGTGGTGTGTGCACACAGTGGGTGCTGTGAGGGTTTGTGGGATGTGGTGTGTGCACACAGTGGGTGCTGTGAGGATGTGGTGTGTGCACACGCTGGGTGCTGTGAGGGTGTGTGGGATGTGTGCACACCGTGCATCGTGTACTATTTGCATGTTCAGAGGGATCAGTGATGGGTCCTGGCCTAGGCAGCGTCTCACTCCTCTCTTGTCCTGTCCACCCTGATGGACATGGCATGTGGCTGTTTGGCAAATGGACAGAATCCTTGTCACTGTCTTTTTGAAAAGGCAGGGGCTCTCGTCACCCCGGGGCCTGCTGGACAGGAACCCCAGGGTGGGATGAGGCCATGGCAGGGAGACCTCCTCACTCCCAGCTTGGCATTGCCAGTGGCACCTTCTGCTAGCTCGGAGGGACTGAACCTACTCGGCTACATTGTAACAGCTGGGACCTGAAGGTGGAGCTCCCCAGAGCAGCAGGAGCCTGGCCCCGCCCACACCTGCCTCGCTGCAGGCTGCAGGGTCAGCCCCGACCAGCATCAACCCCCAGAGCAGGTCAGCCCTAAACCCACATCAGCCCCAACTCCGGTGGCTCGGGTGTGGATGGTCCCACAGACCACCTGGGCTCCTCAAGACCCTGGGCCCGGGTCCCGCGCCCCAGCCCTTGCCCTGGCCCTGCACTTACATCCTTCACGTAGCTGGACGAGATGGGCTTCCCGCTGCGGTCAATGGCGCCTTCGGCAATGATGATGATGTTCAACCGGGACCCCCGGCTCCGGGTCTGGGCCAGACAAGTGAGGCTCAGTGCTGGCCTGGCAGGGTCAGTGTCCCCACAACTATGCCACCCCATCCTGTGAGAGGCAGTGGGGCTGCAGCCAGGTCCCCCGCTCCCTGCTGGCTGCCCACAGTTGGGGCCCAGCGGGCAGTGTGGCTGGGATCAGGGCTCAGGTTTGCCAGCTTTCCCACACAGCTTGGGTGTGAACACGGCCGAGTCACACCTAGCAGGGACCCCGACGCTCCGACTAGGCAGGCCTCACATCCAGGTTCCATGTCTGCCCTGGGCATTGGTGGAGAAGGTTCTAGAAGCTGACTCCCAGCCCCTCCTGCTCTGCCTCCATGTGGGTCAGGCAGATGCTGCCAGCCCAGGCCGCCTGCTGCCCCCAAGGCTGGTCATGTGGGTCTCATCAGAACACTGAAGCCCAAGGCCCGAGACATTGGGGAACCCTGCCCCCCACAGCATGGAGCCTCTGGCAGGATAACAGTGTGTCCTGGGAGCCCGCTCACCAAGGGCCCAGCTGGCCCAGCCAGGGTCTGGGCACTGCAGGGCAGCCAGCAGCTCTGACCCCATCGGCCATCACCTCCCCAGAAGCCAGCCTGACCACACTGCCCACACTGACACGGAGAGCCCAGCCCAGGACACAGGTCTCGGCCATGTGTGCCAATCAAGGTCAGTCAACGCAGAAGTCAGCTGCCGTGCCCCAATGTGTTAGCCCTGCCACCAGGGGGCACCCAAGGTTCCCTGGACCGGCCACAGCAGGCTGCAGAGAACCAGCCCCCCAGTGTCCCTTGGGGACCCCATCCCAGGACGCGGCACCCCCGCACTCACCTCGCCCAGACGCTCACACATGAAATTCTCCCAGCCATCCTCGGGGGGCGCCTCCGGGATGAACAGCCAGTCGGCCCCCGAGGCCAGCGCAGATACCAGCGCCAGGTACCTGGCAGGGGACGCCAGGGTCAGGAGCCCAGCCCCCCGGACAAGGGAGCACCCCATGCCCTCTCTGTCCCCTCCCCCAGTCACCTCCTGTCCTGCTCACCCGCAGTGCCGCCCCATCACCTCCAGCACGAAGGTCCTCTGGTGGCTGCAGAGACAGAAGAGACGGGCTGTCAGGCCCTGTTCCGGGGACCCCAGGGACCCCAGGAACCCCAGCTCAGCAGCTCCAAGGGTCGGGCGGGGGATGCAGAGCGACAGTGGACAGGGCATGGGGACAGGATGGCCATCCCTCCACACCCAAGCCAGGCCTGGCTGAGGCTGCCAGGAGCCCAAGGACCCCCCAGCACCCCGGAGCTGCAGGCTGGGCCGGCACAGGGAAGCCCCACTGACCTCTGGGCCGTGGTGGTGATGGCATCAATGACCTCCATGATACGGTGCAGGGCCGAGTCGGTGCCAATGGTCATGTCGGTGCCACAGAAGTCGTTGTCGATGGAGCCCACCAGGCCGGCGATGTTCAGGTGCGAGTAGGTCTGGGCTGTGCTCTCCGAGATCTTCCCTGGGCGGGGAGAGGCAGGAGGGCCAGGTGAGGCCGCCCGCGTGCAGTCTAGGCAGGGACTGGGAGCCCCACGCCTGGCCAGTGCGTGGAGGGTGCTGAGAACGGCCGCCCCCTCAGCTACCAGTACCCCAACCAGTGGCCCAGGCCACTGCCCGACCCTGGGGGCTCTGGGTGGACAGTCCCCAGACCTCAGCTCTCTGCCCAGCATGTCCAGGACCCGGCCTGGCACGCCACCACCGCAAGGCCTGGATGCTGAGCCTCCTGCCACCAGCCCACCCGTGATAGCGTCCAGTTCCTCCACGGGCAGCAGCCACGCAACGCCGGGCCGCAGACGCACCTTCCTGTACCAGCTCCTCCAGCAGGCTGCCCCACTCGCTGCGGAAGATGTTGGCACCTGTGAGACTGCCGTCACCGCCGATGACACACAAGTTGGTGATGCCACGCTGGACCAGGTTGTAGGCCGCGGCGCGGCGGCCCTCCCGCGTGGTGAAGGCCTTGCAGCGGGCACTGCCAATGATTGTGCCACCCTGCGCGGGACAGCCGGGACTTTCACACAGGGCGGGGGCATCCCGGGGCACAGCAGCAAGGGGACAGCTGGGACCAGCCCAGGCCACTGCCACAGGCCTTCTCCTGGACCCAGGACAGGACAACATCCCCACACAGCCACCTCCTCGGGCTGGGGAGGCACGTGCGCACGCACACACAGAACCCGGGCCCTGTGCAGTGTTTCCGCATCTCCCCGCCTCCGTGTGGCCCCCGCTGCCCGCGCTGCCCCCGCTGCCCCCGGCCTCACCAGCTGAATGATGTTGGAGACGCTGAGCCAGCTGGCCTGTTGGATGTTCTCGCCACCTCCCACCAGGCCCTCGTAGCCCTGGAACCGGAGGGGTCAGTGTGAGACAGTGGCCACCACACCGTCCTCCAGGCCAAGTGACGCACACGCAGCCTGGGCCCCGGCAGCAGAGCCGGGACAGGTGTCCAGAGAGCCTGGGGGCCAAGCCGAAGCGGCCACACAGGGTCAGCCCTGCACCAAGCCTCATCCCCAAGCCCCAGGGACCAGCCGCTCGCTGAGCGGGCTGACAAAGACCAAGGCTGACAAGAAGGTAGCGGCCTTCCCCACAGCCCAGTCCAGCCTGCTCGGACTGGCCCCACTGTCCGAATGGCTGCCGACAGCTAAGGCAGAGCAGTGGGGAGGGCACCAGAGGGCTTCAGGTCTGGTCAGCAGTGACACAGGCCCACCCTGGCCTGTCAGAGCCTGCCTGGGCCACGTGCACGAAGCAGTCCTGGATCTGGAACCCAGGGGGCTGCCCGGTAAGCGGACCCGCCTGCACGCCCGAGATGGGCAGGCCGCCATAGGCCTGGCCCTGTCTCACTGTGTGGGTGTGGAGGGGCAGTCCCAGGACCACACTCCTAGCCCTCCAGGCCCGAGCACCAGCCGGTGACACAGCTCACCACCCCGCCCCCTGCAGGAGCCCCCAATCCTGCAGCTGGGCTCCTGGCGGGAGCTGAGGACACACCTGGCTGCCAGGTGACGGTCCCAGGGTCAGCTGCACCGGCCCTCAGCCAGGACTCAGCTGGGACTCCCAGGGCACCGCCAGAGCCAGCGGGGGCCTGTGGGGCTGCATTAGCCCCGAGGAGCTGAGGGCTGAGCGCGTCTCTGGAATCAGAGGCCAGGAGAACAGTGGGAGGCACCTGGAGAGCCTGGGTTTATTACAACGGATGAAATGACCAACTAACCAGAAAACCAGACAAGGCGAGACCAGGAGGTGGGACACACAGACAGGGGTGGCCCCGGGTCACAGCAGAGACCAGGACACAGGTGACCCCAAAGGGTGGCAGCTGCCCAGCAGGACAGCCTCCGATGACCCTCCCTCCCAGGCCTGGGGTGGGGCAGTGACTACCGCTGGGGACAGCAGTCCCCAAAACCCACAGGCCCCTTTCTGGGGACTCCGTCAGCCCGGGACCCCCAGCACCCCCAAGCTGTGGACCCCTTCTTCCCCCAGCCCTGAAGCCAGCGTGCAGCAATGGCCACACTGGCACACCCCGCCCCCCTTACCTACCTCATAAATGAGGAAGACTTTGGCGCCCACATAGATGCCCATGCGTGTCACAGCCCGCACAGCTGCATTCATGCCTGCCAGTGGTCAGGACGAGGTGGTCAGCGGGCGCCATGCCAGGGACCGTGAGGGCCGGCTCTGGCGTGTGGGAATGGGGAGCCCCCAGTCCCCTGCATGGCACACAAATGCGGGGCACGCCCCAGAGCTTCCAGTTCTGCCACTGCCCTCCTCCCCCACGCAGATGGCTAGCCTCACCTCAGCACAGCCAAAGGGGAGCTGCAGCAGGTCCAGGGCTGCCCCACCTGCCCTGGACAGGGCCCTCTCCCCTCCAGGAACTCAGGCTGGGCACCCAGAGGTCACGACTCCTACATGCCCTTTCCCTCCTCCCTGCCTTCCCCGGGCAGCCACTCTGATCCATCCTACCCACTTCCTGAATCTGACCCAGTCCCCTACCCAGGCGGCCACTCCCCTGCCCTGCCCTGCCCTGCCCTGCCCTGCCCTGCGGCCACTCTGAAGACACCCACCCTTCCCAGCCCAGGGGCTGTGCAAGCCAAGCACCCCCCCCCCCCGCCCGCCCGCTGGCCTTTGTCCCCAGGGATCCACCTGTGCCCAAGGGGGGCGAGGTGCATCCCAGTGCCTTGCAAGGTGCATGGGGTGGGCTCCACCCCCACCTGAGCCTCCTGCCTGCAAGGCAGCTGGGGGCAGCAATGCGGCTCCCACACTGGGGTCCCACCCAGGGACTGGTCTCCTGGCTCCCGAGCCCCGAGCGGGATGAGGCAGCAATGGGGGGACCCCTGGCCCTCACTCTCCCTCACCAACAGAATGAAAGTGTTACCCAAGTGTGGGATCTGGGGCACAGTGACCCTGGCCCTGGTTATACAGGAACCCCCCCACCCTCACGTGGCCTGCAGCTGGGCGGGGAAGCAGGCCTGTCGCGGCCCCACGACCCCTCCCAGTGCCCCACCCTGAGCGACCCCCAGGCTAGGGAGCTGCGCGCCAGTGTCCCTGGGCAGCTCCCAGCCTAGGAGCCCTCCCCGACACACGCACCAGAGCAGGCAGTGTGCAGGGGCCACGGGGACCTGAGCTGCCCACCCTGCAGCTTGCATAAGTGCTTTCAGCGGGCAAGAGCTGGTTGCCCAAGCAACAACAAACGTCTCACACACCCCAACTCGCAAAGTGGGGTTGCTAAACTGGAGCTGGGAGAGCCCAGACAGCAACCTCACAGCCTACCCAGGGGACGGAGGCTGCGCAGGGAGTGGGGGCTGCAGGCTCCCGCTCTGCTGAGGGCCAAGCAGGGAGGCAGCGGGCTCAGCCTGAGCCTCCCACGCCGTGAAGCGTGCCGCCCCCTCCGCTCCCAGCACCTCCCATCAATGGGGAAGCAGGCCCAAGAGGCGCAGAGAGGAAGGGGTCTGTGGCAACCCTGTGTTCAATGTGGAGCTCCCAGGGGACTCTGTGCCTGTCACCTCCCCAGCCAGCCTGGGGGTTGTCCGGAGCCCTGGGTTACGGTCGTGGTGGGTGCTGGACTTTAGCCTGCAAATGACCCCAGGACATAGCAAAACAAAACCTCTGGCGCCTGGGGTGGCATGGCAGACCAAGCCCAGCTGTGCGGCCAGCCAGCCAGGAAGTGCCCACTGACCAAGGCCCTGTGTCCCAGCAAAGGGAAGCTGGGTGACCCAGCCCTGTGCCTGGTAGAGCCGAGCTTCCATCTGCCCTTCGGTCAGCTCGTCTGCCTCCCCGTAAACCCCGCGCGAGGGCAGGACAGGGAGGGACCACGGCTCGGCCCCTCCCAGGGCCAAAGGCTCTGGGCTCCAGGAAACGGGCGCCGGGGACAGAGCCCAAGAACACTTGGCCACCAATGACCCTTCATCACGGTTGGCTCAGGAGGCAAGAGCGGGCATCGCGGCCATGCCAGTCAGGCCCCGATGCGGTCAGGAGCCGCAGGGAGCCCGGCTCACGCAGACACGTCAGTGCCCACGCCAACCGCCGGGGCCCAGGAGAAGCCCAGACCAAGCACTGGGCCCTCCCTCAGCCACAGCCATGGCAGACCGCGGGGAAGCGGGGAAAAACCTGGGGTGGCCCATTTCACTTCCCCGACCCCAGCAAAGCCCTTGCGTCACATGGGAGGCCAAGGGCAGCTGAGCAGGACAGAGTCTGGCTGGCCCGCTAAGTCTCAAGCATCCCAACCCAGGCCCCGGGGAGGAGAGCTCAGCCACGGCCCCACACCATCCTCCAGCCCCACCTGCACCCCACAGCTGGGCAGGCACTGGCAGGGCTCCCCAGGGGGGTCCCGGCTCCACCAACCGTAGGAGGACATTGCGACCCTAGAGGGTCAGGGAGCACAGGATTGCAGTTGATTGGATAATATTTGCATGAGAACAACCGAATGGCCACCTTTTGACTGGATATCACTTGTATAAGAACAGTTGAGTGACAGCATGTGAATGGGAACACTTGGTGGAATATACAAGACAAAAGGACTTCCAAACAAGAGTATGGAAACAGTGGATGGTTTGTTGATGAGCTCAATACCTCCTCCCTCATCCCATAGGACCCTCAGTGTATAAAGCCTGATGCCACCAATAAACTTGGGCTTTGACCATCAGTCAGGGTCCACGCGTGTTATTGTCGGCTCCGTGCACCAAGTCCGTCGCTGCGGGACAGCGATGACCAAGTACCTGGAGGACTCCATCCATAGGATGATGCCCTAGATAGGAATGGGGGAGTCTGCTACTGGGCCTTGAGCCAAGGGGGGACCAAGCTCCCAAGCCCTGTGTCCTCCCCGGCGTGCTGAAGGAGCAGGTCAGCCAGGGGCCTCCTGGGAAGCCGCTTCCTCCTCCAGCTCCTCCGGCGGGCCAGGAGGGAGGCGCGCCCACATTGTTCTGCCCAGGGGCAGGCCAGCAGAGGCTGCCCCGCCGGGGGGCTGGCTCGACCGCTCCTCAGGTTAGGGTGGGGCCCAAGGTCAGCAGACCCGACCAGGCCGGGTGCGCACCTCCCCGCCACAGGACGGCTGGAGGGAGGATCCGCCTCCCCACCCCCACCCAAACTTGACTCCTAAGACTCCTAAAGTCCCGAGACAGCTCCCGCCCCCCACGGAGGCCCCGAGCGGCGGGAGGGGAGCGCAGGAGGCCAGGGGCTGAGCCTGGCCCAGCCCGATAGGGGCCCCGAGCAGGGGGCAGCAGGCGGAGGGAAGGGGTGCGGATTGGAGCCCGCCCAGGCAGGGACCCCAGTCGGGGCAGAGCCCGGAAGGCCCGGGCTCCGGGCGCCCGTGGAGACCGGCCCTGCGCTCCCTCGGGGCTCGCCGCTGCGGGAGAAGCTTCGGGTCCTGCGCCCGCCGCGTCCGGGGCCACCGGGGCCACCGGGGCCACCGGAGCCCGCGCAGCCACACCCCCCGGGGGCCGGGCTCCGCGCGCAGGGCGGGCGCAAGGCTGGCGCAGGGAGCCCGTGGCTGGCCGCACGTACGCGGCGACCCGAGCGCGTGGGGCGGACTCCGGGCTCCCGGAGGGGCGGCGCTCGGGGCGGGGGGATCGGCCCGAGGCCCCATCCCCGGGGCGGAAGGCGACGGTCGCGCCCGCAGGGACACCGTGCGCCGAACCTGCGCGCACGGAACCCGGCTCACCTTGCGCATCGCCGCCGCTGGTCAACACGCCGATGGCCTTGCCGGCCCCCGACATCCGCAGCTTCTCCAGGTCCACGGTGGCCATGGCGGCGGCGAGACCCGGGCCCGCGCTGGCCGTCGCGCCTGCTCTGCGCCGCGATCCCGGTCGCTGTCGCTGTCGCCAGCCCCGCCTCTGGCCCGCCCCGCGCGCCCGACCCCGCCCCGGGTCCACCCCCGGCGCCACGTTTGACGGACAGGACGCGGGCCCGGCAGCGAGGGCACCCGGTAGCCGCAGGCAGGGCACGTAGCCGCCCGGAAATCTGGATTTCCCGACGTGGGGTCGCCGCCGGCGCATTCTCCCAGCCACTCTTCCCTGAGACTGTGGCTGCGGTCGGATCCCCTCGTGCCGGCCCAAGCCGCCGCCGCCCGCGTGTTTCCGGGCCTCACAGCCTCCATGAGGGCCTTGCCCTCCCAGACTGGCAGTGGTGCCCCGGGTTGGGGACTTAAAGGCGGGGCCCCAGCCCAGCCACACTCAGGTCTCAGGTGGTGGGACCTGAGCCCGAGGCACCTGTGCTCCCCTTGGGCAGTTCAGCCAGGGCCTTGCGCTGGCAAGCCACAGCCTCTGGCATCCCCTAAGTCCCAGGTACCCACTTCCATCCAGCTCCTTGCTGATGCTTCTGGGGACCCTGCACCCACTGGGGAGATCGGGAGGAAACTCCTGGCTCCTGGCTTCAGCTTGGCCCAGCTCTGACTGTTGGGGCTGTATGGGGGTGAACCAGCAGGTGGAGTTCCAGAGTCCCCAAGGAGGGCCTGCTTCTGATGGGAGGGGCAGGACGAGAGGTGAGGGGTCTAGGACTGGGTTCCACTAAGCAGGACTGACTGCGCGGAGCAGACACTGTGCCACGTCCCCCCAGGCCTGCAGCCGTGCTCAAGTGACCAAGGAACTGGACCCCCCACCCGCAGCCACAGCAGAGTGCCTCGCCCTGCATCCCCGTGCCAGAGATGGGGAACAGAGTGCCAGCACCCAGTTAACTCTCCAGCCCAGCCCTTCTTCTGCGGGGGTGTGGGCGGGCATTACACTGCCAACTGCCCACATTCAACAGGCCCCGGGCAGGGCAGTGTTTGGAGTGGGCAGGGCAGTGGACACGCGTGCTCAAGCCCTGCTCAGGGTGGTGGATGCGGACAGTCAAAGCCCAGGCAGGGTGGCGGACAAGGTGATCAGAACCCAGGCAGGGCAGTGGAAGGGGGCGGTCAGGGCCCGGGTGTGGCAGGGGTGCAGTGGACACAGGTGGTCAGGCCTGGCTCAGGGTGGTGGACAGTCAGAGCCCAGGCAGGGTGATGGACAAGGTAGTCAGAACCCAGGCAGGGCAGTGGAAGGAGTGGTCAGGGTCCAGGCGGAGCAGTGGACACAGGTGGTCAGGCCCTGTGCAGGGTAGCACATGGGTAGGAGGGTGTCACCCCAGGGTCACCTCTCCAGCTCACCCCCACAGTAGGATACTGAATGCCCAGGGGACCCCATGAGCTCCCACACCACCTCGGGGGCACCCTGTCCTCTGCCCATGCTCGGCCACACTCTGCATCGTCTTGCTTCCCTTTGCACAGAATCTACATGATGCCCACGGGGCCCGCAGCTCCTCAGTGCCCTGTGCCCACGGGGCCTAGTGCCTCAGTGCCCTGTGCCAGGACCCTCAGCTCCTCAGTGCCCTGTGCCCACGGGGCCTAGTGCCTCAGTGCCCTGTGCCAGGACCCTCAGCTCCTCAGTGCCCTGTGCCCACGGGGCCTCCAGCACCTCAGTGCCCTGTGCCCATGGGACCCCCTGTGCCTCGGTGCCCTGTGCCCACGGACCCTCAGCTCCTCGGTGCCCTGCGCCCACGGGGCCTCCAGCACCTCGGTACCCTGTGCCCATGGGGCCTCCAGCTCCTCGGTGCCCTGCGCCCACGGGGCCCCCTGTGCCTCGGTGCCCTGTGCCCATGGGGCCCCCTGTGCCTCAGTACCCTGCGCCCATGGGGCCCCCAGCTCCTCGGTGCCCTGCGCCCACGGGGCCCCCTGTGCCTCGGTGCCCTGTGCCAGGTCCTGTCGTGACAAGTCCCCGGGGTTTACTTTGATGTAGAAACAGTTTTGAAACCCACGTGTAGTTTCTTCTTAATATGGACGTTCTCTACACTTCCTGGAGAACATGTGTAAGTATTCTGCATGTCTGTGTACATATTGTTTGTTTTAAAATTTATTTGAAACTCAGAGTTACACAGAATCAAGCTATTCAGTGGCTCACCCCCCAGGTGGCTATACTGGCCAGGGCTGGACCAGGCTGAAGCCAGGCACTCCGTCTAGGTCCCCCCGTGGGTGCAGGGGAACAAGCACCCAGCTGTGCTCTGCTGCTCTCGCAGGCAGTCAGCAGGAGCTGGATGGGAAGTGGGGCAGCACGACAAACTCCGAACCCCAACAGGTGGTGGCGCCCACGTGGAGACTTCAACCGAGGATGGCGCTTGGACGGAGAGCCTGGGGCAGCCTGGGGTCTCGGGTCAGTCATCCTCACGGGAGCTGTGGTGGCAGCCTGCTGCCCAGAGACCCCTCCACACACTGCCTCCCGCAGCACAGGCCAAGGCACAGGGTGTGGGCTCCGAGCTGAACACACGCGCTCCATGCCATCAGCTGCCCAGGCAGCCCCCGCGACCAGCGGGGCCAGAACCCACACCGACTGCCCCCGCCAAGGAAGTCCAGCCCTGTGTGGGGAAGGAGCCAGACGGGCTATGTAGACAGAGGGGCAGGTTGTGCCGCAGCTCTGCCCGAGGACACCCCAGGGTGCTGAGCCCAGCTCTCCTCCCTCCCCATAGCTCCATCCTCCTCAGGGGAGGGTCCTGGCCATGACCCCACGCTCTGTGGGAGGGCACCTGGCACCTCCAAGTGCCCAACAAACACACCATGTGGATGGACAGCTGACCGACTGAGTGAGTGATGAAGCAATGAGTGGATCCGTGAGTGGGCGGACACGGGCTGAGTGGGGGCACCAGTGAGACCCCCTAGCGAGGAGCCCCTGGGGAGATGTATTTCTTGCATCCTGAGGATGAGGCTGGTTACAACACTGGGGCCTTCCGGATCCCTGTTTTATCCAGCCAGTGTCGTGTGACATGGCTCCCAGCGTCCACGCCGTCCATGCTGTCCACCGCCCCGTCAGGAGGGAAAGGTGGGCGCCTCGGCCAGTGGGCGGGACATGCTCTGGATGGCCCACTGCAGAATGCCATCGAAGGAATGCTGCGGGCAAGACAGGGTGGAGACTGGGGGCCAGGGCGTGAGCCCACCTCCAAGGCCAGGTCCTGGGTGCCCACTGGTGTCTGCCCGTCTCCCCTCCCTTAGCCACCAGCTACGTCCTCCACGTGCCATGCTTGATACATGTAAGTGCGACAGGGTCCCTTCCCCGACCCCAACACAGCTGTGGCCATGAGAAAAGGGGCACCCCTGTCCCAGGTACCACCTACCTCACTCAGCAGTGACTCCAGGTCATCCCTGGGCCCAACAGGCTCGGGGACCCCAGGGACCCCAGGGGCCTGAGACGCCTCCGTGACCTGGTGCCCAGGGGAGAGGCCACCTCAGCCACAAGCCCCTGGGGATGCCAGCACTGGGCGAGGGGATGCACCGGAAGGGGTTTGGGGGAGTATACAGCACAGGAGCAGTGAGGGTCCCCCTGGAGACAGGCTGCCAGAGACAGCCCAGGCATGGCCAGACCCCCAAGCACCCCGGGGACAGGTAGGAGAGGCAAAGAGCCGTGGCTTCCAGGACAAGGGGTGCCACCATGTGGGCCCCAGGGAGTGGACTCAGCATGCACAGCAACCAGGGGGCAGAGGGGCACAGGGCTGGCTGCAGGGAAAGGCAACTCCGTGTGAGGTTGTGGGAGAGGGGCCCCTGACACCCCAGCCCACCCACGCTTCAGCTTGCCTGTCTGAGTGACCCTAAAGGTTTCAGGAAATTTCCCCCCAAAGCAGAGCAGCCTCTGGGCTCCTCCCTGAGCCTCCACCCACCGCACCCCGGGTTCCACCCGCTGGTCCCCGCCACCCCCCACCACTGACCTTGGCGGGCACCGTGGTCGGGCAGGCAGAGCTTGGAGCGGGCGCGCCCTCCGCGTGGGCCGGCGGCGCGGGGGTGCAGGACCTGCAGCGCGGGCCAGACCTGCGGGCGGCGGAGGGGCACAAGACCGGGTTGGGCGTGCGCCCCGCGGGGGTGGAGCCCGCTGCGCCCCCGCACGCACTCACCCGGACCACGGTGCGCCCCCCGGGAAATGGCATCGCCAGTGGAAGGCGGCGGCGCAGTGTGTGCACCGCAGCGCTCCCGCGCCGTCCCCGCACACCCCGCACCGCGCCCCGGAAGTCGGGCCCTGCGGAGGGGGACAACGCAGTGTTGTGGCCAGGGTGACCAGACCCTCCTCCCTGCAGCCTCTGCCCTGGACCCAGCCAGAGGGCCAGGGCGTGGAGGAAAGCCCAGGTCCTGGGAGGGCAGAGTGAGGCCTGGGGTCCCAGGACACGCGAGCCATTGTACCCCCATGGCCCTGTATGGGCACAGGGCAGGGATAGCCTGCTGGTCTGGAGTGCGGTGGGAATTTGGGGAGCCTCCCCACTCCCAGGACCCCCCACCTCAGTGCCAGCCTGCCCACCCCTCACACCCTTGAGCACGAGGACCGGCAGTACCCCCACTCACCTGCTGCCCTTCAGGGCCCACACTCAGTAGGGGGCGCAGGGCCGAGGGCGCCAGCCCGGGGACAGGGGGTGCGGAGGGCGGGGCCAGCAGGTGGGTGTAGGTAAGAATAGTGTCCGTGCTGACCCGGGGCTCCCCGGGAAGGCCCCTTCCTTCCTGCACAGCCGGCAGCCCCGGAGGGACCTGGAACCCAAGGATTGAGGTTCAGAGGGGCGCTGCCCTGCACCCCTGGGAGCCCAAGGCGGGAGAGGCAGAGCCCAGGCCCCCAGCACCAGGCTAGCAATAGCCTAAATGCAGTAGCCAAGCCCCCTCCCCCTGGCAGAGGGAACACAGCTCCACAGGCAGGGCAGGGGCAGGCCTGTCCCCAGGAGTGGCCGGGCCACCCCGGGAGGGGCCCACACGCACCAGGGTCTCTGCACGCAGCTCTTGGGGTTGTGACTCCTCAGCTTGGGGCAGG